AACGGAAACAAACAATTGATATCACAAGGACAAAATATTACAATAATCAACAAAATATCTCATATCAATGGACACCGAATGATGACCTGAGGGTACTTGGTCAAAACGTTGTGTCTATAATAACATCTATACCAACCAAAATGAGAAGAATAGTTTGAAATAATACAAGCGTATTGACAATTACTCATCTCGGATATGAAATATTAAAATTACTTTCATTTTTTAAATTTTAAATAAATTTACAGATTAGGTTTTGATCCAGGAACATTAATAGAATTACTCATATTTACCTGTTAATTGAATATTCATTACCTGTGAGCAGAGTTATTTTCATACCTTATATTTTCAGATTATCTTAGGAAAGTAATTACCCATATTATCTTCAGAATATCAATAAAATTTGATCCTCAAACTGTTAATCAAATATTGATTATCTACAAACATGTTTTTTTGAGTCACATTCATCTGTTTTATGATGGAATATGGGCATATGACTGAGTGGTTAGAATATTCACTTTCTGACTATGAGGCCTAGGTTCGAATCTCACCATGGTCGATTTGTCAATAATGTGACTTCTTGATATTGTTGGTCTGGGGAAAGCGATCCTATCATGTAGCACCTTTGGAAAGTGCCTGAAAACCATAACACGGGTTGACCCAAACCTTACGAGACAAATTTAGTAGACAGAACCCTTGGGAGCTGTCGATGATTATGCTAACACAAAGTCACAAGCCTTGTTTAGACTGCTGATCACACTAGATAATGCGCTCTCTCCCAGAAACTATAACTAAGGTCTGCTCAGCATAGTTGCAGTATAAACGACAGGTGAGCTCTGTGAATGTTGAACAAACACAAATGTACCTGAACAGACGTCTGCAACAGGGATTGCATAGCCACCCTAGTAGACAGGCATCCTCAGATACAAGTGATCAGCTATTATTGGGATGAAATATGGTTGATCTTCATTGATCATACCAGCTTATCCATGACATCAAAAAATGAAGACTAGGCTTTAATGTTTTATAATTACAATGCAATTAAACATATTGCCATATATATATATATTTTAATTTTATATATATATATATATATATATATATATATATATATATATATAAAGTTAAAATTAATCTGGGAGCTAAAAATAATTCAAAACAAATAAATTTTGGTAATTTATTTGTCTAGTTTATAATAACAGTATTATGAAATGTGATTTCCTTTGGGATTTTTTCAGTTCAGCTGTAGTCATTAATCCTGCATATTGTATTCTACCCCTCTCCTTACTGCTGGGGCAGTTATATAGTCTTTATGATGTAGCTATGCTAATTAGGGAGTCATTTACATATCATTGCAAACAGCAAGTTCTATTTCTACTATGCTGTTAATTATAGTATTATAATGAATTTAAATAAAAAATTGTGTTCAAAATTCCCTGAAATTTGCCTGGATTGGTAGACCCTTCAAAAACACCAGTAGGCACAATGGCCAAAACATTTTGACAACAGCAAAAACAAAGATGAGAACATTAGTCCGAATGTAAATAATGATAATTCCTCATTCCAGAAATTCAGACAGAAAACTCATTTTGTTTTGTAACTAGTATATAAACATAAAAAATAACAGGAAACCTAATTTTCTTGTTTGGTAATTAAATATTGACTGTGTCCTGGGTATGATGATAAACTACATCTGGCAGCAAGGTCTCTGATCAGGAGGTTTTGAGAATCGTGGAACCACCTCTTAATTGCTGTTGTTCTCAGGTCCACACTGACCCAGAGTAGAAGCACAGGTTAAAGTCCCAGCTATGGGCAAATAGTTAACCCCCAAGCTGGGGTCAAAACACTAGGAAAGTGTAAGAATAGGTTTTTATAGTAAAAATACCAGCAATACATTTTTGAAAAAAATATTACCAGCAGTACAATAAAAAAAAAAAAATACCATACATTTTTTGGAAAAAAAAAATATTACAAGCAATAATAATTTGACTCTTGACAAAAACCCTCTTAACAAAAATATGTCAATGAACAAATCTACAAACTGATTTCTTACAAAGAATACATATTCTATTCATATGAACCTATTCTAAAAATCTTGTCAGCATAAAATAACCCACTGAAGTTGATATTCCATTAAACAAAATAAACCAAACCAAACCATATATTGACTATTATAGTTTTTTTCAGAATTACCTTCATTGTTTCATACTTGTCCAATGGATAAGCTTTCACTTTCATTGACATAATCTACAGAAAGAACCTTTTTTGTCTTCCACCAGCATATCTGGTTCTAACCTCCAACTGACATGAAGTGGAAAGATTATTTACAATCAATTCCCAAGTCTGTTGTTAGGAAAGTCAGTTCACTATGTTAGGCTAGACAATTTTTCTCACCAGAATCTATTTTGCACATTTATAAGTTTACCGTTTGTCTATGCATTGAATATTGCTGCTACATCTGGTCTGGTGTTTCTGTTTTATGTCTAGAGATTCTTGACAAAATCCAAAGAAAAATCAGCAACATTATCAGTTCTGACCTGACGTCTCAACTTCAGTCACTTTCTCATCACAATAACAGAGTTTCCCTTTGTCTTTTCTATAAATATTTTCTCAGTAATTGTTCTTATGAGATTTCATTGTTGGTGTCTCGACTTCATAAATTCAAGTTCAGTACTTGATTGGCAGTTAGGTTTCATAATTTCACTGTTGAAATATACTTTTTATAACCAATTCTAATATCAATAATCAATTCTTCTCACGTTTCTTGTGGAACTTTCTTCTGGCTTCCTGTTTTCCTGTCAACTACAATTCTCAAAAATTTAAATGCAATATCAATCATCATCTTCTGTCTCCTTGAATCCTGTTCTTCTATTGTCCTCTGTTTATTTCACTCTCAGCCCCCTTTTTCATCCTAGTGGTTTTTATTGCCTTGCATGGGTTGAATTGACTAAAAATAAATTAAATTTAATTAACCATTCATTTTTATTGTTCACCAAATGCGGAGCTAGATTAAAATCTTGTAGATCATAGATGTTGTGAAACCTCCAGTAATTTTTTAAAATAAAAAAATGTTAGTAGAAAATTTATTCTTACAAAGCTAACAATAATTAAAATGGAAACATTTATTTTGTATAATTTCTTGGAAATGTTTTTCCAAAACATTAGTAAATTGTAAGTTTTTGAGAAAGTCATTTTCAATTGCGATGATAACAAGTTTGTTTAGTCTTGTATCATTTTAGATATCTGTACATGTTTCATTTTGATGAAACGCCTCACTCCAGTAACTTGTAGTAAGTTTTATTCAAATCATCCTCAGAATATTATTGACAAAATTGGTCTTATAGTAATTATATTTTTCAACAAATCAAATCCTATCAGAAGGTTTATTTGATAAACAATAATTACTAGGTCAAATACTACCAAAATACTTGTGGACATAGTTGTAGACTGACCACATGTTATTTTTGGACCATTTAGAAAATAACAATAATAACTCCTTTTACACTCTTGTGAGCCAGTGTGAAATTATTTTCTAACTAATGAAAACCTTGTATTCAAAAAGTTCACACCTCTATGTGAAATTAGATTTTGAATCCCCTTACAGATATATAGATAGAAGCATACTACTTCTTGGGGTTTAAACCATTTTGGGAGGTGAGTTTAGTACACGCACACACACACAGACATACAATGGAAGTGACAACAACCAGCAGTTGCTGACTAAGGCTTTGTCCATACACACAATAGAAGGGATTAGCCAGCAATCACTGACAAAGCCTTTTGGCTATGAACTCACAAACACATTAGCCTGTCTTAAAAGAAGTCTGTTCACACATTTCACATGGCACTAAGAGCACTTAATTACTTTATAAAACAAACTTCATTGTAAGGAAAATTGAACATTTTATTGTCATTGTATATCCCTAAAGAAAATATACAAATGTTTTCAGAAAATAATCTTTTTTATGTTTCCTTTAAAAGATGTGTTGTTAAATGTTTGATATCCTGACATTTAGATAGCAACAAAAACCTGGGTAGACAGATCCCAACAGTCTCACTAAATCTGATATTAATTACTTACAAATTTATTTTTCTTAGTTACAGTACATTCATTCTTTATGTTTTGAAACTGATGGACAAGGTTTTCAGCTGGTAAGGTTATTGTATGTACCTGTAGGATTTTCATTTTATACTTTTGGATAAATAATGAGACGACATGCTCTTTCAGCTTTGAATTACATTTTAGCCCAATTATCGCTAGCTTTATGTCAGATTATTTATAAACATTTTCATGCAAATATAATACGGGTAAAATGAAAACCAAAAATGAATAAATAAACAAATACGGGAAATTCGTTAATTATATTAAAAGATCCATGACTGAAAAAAAAAAAAGTAAAATATACACTTAATTTGACCATTACAAATTTTACTTTCAAAACTTGAATTTATATCTGTGGTGGCCCTTTGATTAAGGGGAGATAACTTCTCAGTGAAAAATGAGATTATAACATGGCGATGCCGGTTCTCGGACTTAAAAGGTGACCTATATGGTGTTAAACATGTGTTCATTTCATTGAGGCTGTCTTTCACGATGAAACTTTTCTACACCAAACTTCAAAGAATTGTATTTAGGGGACCCCTATTTTCACAACAGTATAACCTTTTTTCGCGTCGTTATCTTGACAGCGAGCTTATTTTCAATTTACTACGACACCAACATATCGCTTCTTCACCATCAACCGCTTCTTGTAAGAAGACTTCTAAAAATCAGGAAATCTCTCAAAATTCTATCCAGTATGTTGAACAGTTATTTGCTGGTCTGTGCAAAGGTGAGAAAGCTTCCCTAGCCCGGAGTATCACCTTGGTTGAATCCACACATCCTGGGAAAAGGAAAGACGGACAAGTGCTTTTGTTTAAAGCACTTCAACATATTAAAGATTTAGAAAAACACACATTGTCACCAACAATATCTTTTCGTATCGGGATCTCGGGTCCCCCAGGTGCAGGGAAAAGTACTTTTATTGAAGCATTTGGTAAACACCTCACTAGCCTTGGGTATAAAGTAGCTGTTCTTCCTGTCGATCCATCTTCAAAAATTACAGGTATGTAAAAGAAAAAAGTTAAATGACTTTGTTTTGTTAAAAATTAAAGTAAATTAGAAACAATAAGAAATGTGAGTTTGACTACCGTTTACCGAGCCTGGAAGAAGACAACGACTTGAATAAAACAATTTTTTAACTGAATGGCATTAATAAACACGAGTACTGTGCTGATAATTACGGTGGCGAAGAGTGAATTCAAAGAAAACTTAACAACTAAATAATAATTTAACCATGCCTATTGTGCTAGAATTGCTTCAATAAGCAATTATTCCACTTAATTACAATTTTAAATTTGAATTAATGGTAAAAAAAAAAAAAAAAAAGTAATGAAAATTAAAATAAGTACAATTATTCAATTAGGCCTGGGGTGTGTTGTCAAGATTTTGTGACGAAATATTGCATCACTAGTCAATTATTCAATTTCTACAGCTGTTTTAAATTCAAGTCGTCTTCGTCCTGGATGGTGGGTCCGGTAAAAAAAAAAAAAAAAAAACAGTAGTCAATTTGAAATAAATGTTATTGCTGTCGACATTATCTTCTTTTCTTAGATATTTAAAAAAAGTTAATTTTAAAAATAAATAATCTGCAGCAGTAGTTATATTCCAAAAACTAAAACACTTTGTCTTTTTTTAGTGCACATAAAAAAACTTAGAAAATTAAACAAAACAAAAAATAATAATACTATTCATTTCCTTTTTGTTGTTTTACAATATCAAACTAAAAACTTACAGTATGCAATTCCATACTGTTGTAGGTTTCTTGATGTTATGTTTATTTTCGACGCTGGGATAGGAAGATTTATAAGCGTCAATCTTCCACATAGGAAGTGCCTCTGTCTCCGTAATCTTTTTTGCTTCGCCTCGAATACAGACCGATAAGCAACAAGCAGGTGGCTTTATTTTGAAAGTGATTATTTATGTCGAAAAAAAAAAACCCAAAACAAAACAAATTTTTTAGTTTTACGTCATTATATGGAATTTTTGCTGTTATTGTTACTTAATTTGAACGAACACTTAAAGGAAAAAGTTGTTCACAAAAGTATTGTTATATTTTTTAAAAGTTTTCTACTTATCAAATAGCAGCACTGATCTTTGCCCCATTTTTTTGAACGACTCATATTCTGTGGATTTGTTGAATTGAATGATCTGAAGGACAAGTAATTTTTTTTTTTTTTTTTTTTTTTTTTTTAGAGAATGAGGAGAAAGAACAACAAAAGACCAATATAGTTACAAAACAACAAAAAAAAAGTTTCCATTATTAGTTACTGTGTAACCTCAGAAAAAAAACATAACTAATTCAATTGGTTAGAAAGTGGTTGGTGCTGCTAAATTCCTGCAAATCCTAAGAGAATCAAGTCAAGTGCAACCTATATTTGTCCTAAAGATGTGTTCCTAAGTCTGTTAGTAAATTTATGAATGAATTAATAACTGGACTTTCTAAAAAAAAAAAGAAAGAAATGTTTACCTTTTGCTTAAAAATAAATAAATAAACGGAATGAAAATAACGTTTTATTTTTTTTTACACACACTAGCCTGTGAGGTCAAAGGGTAGAGTAGAAAGACTGTTCTTCCCCCTGTTCGAAAAAGCGTGGGAAAAAAATTAAAAAAATAAAACCTAAAGTACGAAAGAACAAAAATGTCGTAATTAAGAATTTGTTATTTATGTTTAAATTAATTTTTCTTTGACCGTATCAAATCAATACGTAGTTTGAGAATGTTCTTTTTTTTTCTAACGTTTTTTATTAAACTTTTACTTGTTAACTTGTATAATGAATAATTTTATTTTCTATACTGACCGAAGATATGAATTAAGATTTAAGAATTATTAGTAAATTTATTACGTCTCCGATATTGAATAGTAGTCAGTCAACGCAGGACACCCATATAAAAAATAATCTAACATATATGTTGTATAAATATTTTACTGAAATAATATCTTATCTTCTTTTTATATAATTAAAAAAAAAAAAAAAAAATGAAAGTACACAGTCGATAACGAAAATTGGGGTGGGGGACATATCCCCCAAAGTTTTAACCTATTCAGTAAAAATGTCCCCCCCCCCCTATAAGTAAGTCCTGAAAATTTCGTTTGAATCGGATAACTTCTAGGGTTTTGGCAAATAAAACAGATGGTATCATTTTTTTTTCATTACACAAAAAAGTATGGATTTTGGTTGTATCGAGAATAAATATCTTCCTCATACTAGGGAGGGCAAACTCGAGACAAGGTCAGGTTTTAAATGTGTATGTGTGGGTAGAGATTGACTTGAGCATGATACAGCCATCAGGGAATCATCCTGACCATAAGCCCTTTTAAATGCAATGGGAGGAAGAGCCTGAGAGAAAAGAGTCGCCGGGAATTAGACTTTATTTGTTTATAACTTTGTCCTTGATAAAGTTTACAGAACTTTTGGTGGCTATTGTTATCTACCATATTTCTATTCTTTTAAATTTGTGAATAAGCTGAAAACCAACATGATCTTTTTCTTTTCTTTTATCTTATTAGATTTATTTATTTATTAGCTCCTTTTTTTTTATTCAACTTAAGAACAATTTAAAAAATATTTACCTGTTTTTGTGCTTGCGTTTTTTTTGTCTAGCTATGATAAGATAAAGTACAAAGGAAACGTTTATCAGTCTAACATGTTTCACTTTTATTAAAGCTTCATCAGAGAATGAGATATGGAGATAAAAAAGAAAGAAATTCTGGTATTTTACTTTTGTTTGTGTGATTTTCATTGGTTAATCAGGTTTCATGTGCATTCAACTTGTTAAACAAATGTTAATATAATTTGTGGCATTCCAAATTCAAGTAAAAAATGCATCCATTCAAAGTTCCAAGAAATTAACAAATTGACTAGGTATATATATATATATATATATATATATATATATATATGTGTGTGTGTGTATATATATATATATATTTTCAATAAAAGATGAAGATTTACACTTATTTTTTCTTAAGAAAAGGTTTATTTAAAGTTTAATTTATTATCAAAGTATTTTGACTTCCTGCCTGTCAAAATATTTGCATCAAAACTAACATTAAGATGTTTTTGAAAGAAGTTAAAATTTTCTAAAAAAAAAAAATTAAACAAAAAATTTATGCTTAAAAAAATAACTAAAACATTTACAATATAATGATAGTCATCTAAATAAGTACACGAGCATCTTATATCAGAAAAAAATTAAAAACAAAAAAATTTGATCATAAAAATTACCATAAATATATATAAAACTTGTTCTACATTTTGATAGATTTGCACAAGAATAAAAGGTAAATAAAATGTCATATCCATAAAGAAACATAAATAAAAACTTTAATTATACTATCACTGTGTCGTGCCTATAATAAATAAATAAAAATTGATTATAATGTTAAAAATAATATTGTAAAATAATTATAACAATTATAATTATCATTAATTCAATAATTTTCTTATACATTTACTTTACCATATAATTATACTAATGTGTTTTTAACAAGTCAAATATACATGAAACCTAATTAACCAATGAAAATCAAACAAAAAAGTAAAAATACCAGAATTTCTTCTCCATATCTTATTCTCTGAAGCTTTAATAAAAATGAAACATGTTAGATTGATAAACGTTTCCTATTTGTTCTTTGTCATCAATTTGCTATATAACCAAATGAGTAGGCTAACACCAGTACTTAAGAAAATCCTCTATCCCATATAGTAATGTATCTGGATTTAACTAAGTTTTTCAGTTTTAAGTTGCAATTTCTCACCTTTGACATACTGCTTGTTGTCAGTCAATCAAATTACACTTAACTTACTGAAGAACATTCTTTCCCTGTCTAATTTACAAAGGCTAGTGTAGCTTTTTGGTTATTCTTGCTGATGAGGAGCTTGATTGCAGGGAAACATAAATAAAGCAACATTGTCTCCAGAGATACTTTCATGCCAAATTCTTCAGTTACCTGTGCTCTGTCAGAACTCTAATTCTTTAACTTGAATGGTAGTGCTCACTTTGACATCCAGAGCTCGTATGACAAAAACAAACCTTGCACACCCACTTCTGGAATACCACCCCAAAATAACAGGGTCATAAATCATCTTTTCAGAACAATCTGAAAAATCCCATGTAGTTTTCACAGCAGCTGTTTTTGAGCCATTGACCGACTATAAAACCAGCACCAATTTTACCCATGAGGCAGATCTGACAAGGCTGGCATTAGCAATTGATACCACTGGCAGGCAAGCTTAACCAGGCCATCAGCAGCAGCAGCAGCACCAAGGCACTTCCAATGACAATGACTTCAGACAGTGAAAAAACTAGTGGCAACAGCTAAGTCTCAACTAGTACAATGCAATACGATTCTCAGTTGGAATGAAATCTATTCCTATCCTTATCTTTATGCAAGATAATGCCTATTATGTTGGAAAAGCAGCAAAGCAATTCTTCAATGCTGAGCACATCAAGGTCATAGTATGCTCTCCTTCAAGTTCAGATTTCAATCCAACTGAAAATCTTTTGAGAAATCATTGACAATGATGGGGCAAGGAAACCAACAGTGACTGCTTTGTTGCAGAAACTGCAGTAATTAGACAAAATCACACCTGAACAATATGACAAATTAGTAAAATTCTGTGGTAATGGTAATATTAATTGTTTCCATATAAGTTCTATGGTAAGTTTTTCTCTTACACTTCTTGTTTGTGGAACTCTCTTCCAGCTTCTTGCTTTCCAGTCAACTTTGGTGTTCAAAAATTTAAATGCAATGTCAGTTGTCAATTACTGTTTCCTTGAATCCTATTCTTTTATTGCCCTCTTTAATAATGTTTTTTTTCTTATATTCTTAGTGACTTTATTGCCTTGCTTGGAGTGAAATTGTTAAAAAAAATATCGAGACATTTGTGCACACACACACATATATATATATATATATATATATATATATATATATATATATATATATATATAGTGTATGCTTAAATAATAAATCATTAGTATTTTTTCTGCTAAGCTGGCATTTCTTGTGATGAAAAAAAGGAATGAACTGGAGTGACTTTTAAAAAAGGTTTTACTATTTATTCTTTTCTTTATAATTCTTATTTCATGTTAAAAGTTATATTCTCCTGCCTTTTCTGTATTGAATTTAAGGTAAATCCTATTCTTATTTTCCAAATGGCTTAAGAGCAAGAGATTCATATAGACTTTCTTTTTTTTGTAGAAAAGCTGGGAGAATCTATAAATAAATAAAAAATTAATACTAAGTCAATAATGTTGTTAATTTAATCTATATGTTTATATATTTCTTTCATTTTGGATGCTACAATCTTTGAGAATTAAACATTTTTTTTTTTATTATTTTTAAAATTTCACTCTTTAAAAATCAGATACAACTACAGGGTGGCAATAAAGTCACTATACTGTTACTTATAATAAAAAAGCAAAGCATTGAAGCAGGTGACTTGCAGTTCAAACACTATCGGTAATTAATTTACTATTGTTTACCATAGCATTTTTATTATTAACCAGAACCATTTTAAAAATAAATTTCTGGACTGTTGATTAATTACTTTGTCTTAATTGTTATTGTAACTAACTATATAGTGACTTTATTGCTGTGTGTTTGTGTAAAATCCCATTTTCATTTAACATAAGTTATTAATAGTTATTAATATGATTTAAAGATTTGAATCTTACTTTTTAAATTTTATTTTTCCATTTCCAGGAGGATCACTGTTGGGAGACAAAACTCGGATGCCAACATTAACCCTTGATGAAAATGCTTACATTCGTCCGTCTCCATCAAGGGGTACCTTGGGTGGGGTAACAAGAACAACTAATGAAACCATACTTCTTTGTGAAAGTGCTGGCTACAATATTATCTTAGTTGAAACTATTGGAGTAGGCCAGTCAGAATTCATGGTATCTGACATGGTAGACATGTTTTGTCTGATTCTGCCCCCTGCTGGTGGAGATGAACTACAAGGTATTAAAAAAGGCATTGTTGAAGTGGCTGACATTGTCATCATCAATAAGTCTGATGGAGATTTGGCACCAGCTGCTAGACGAATTCAGGGTGAATACCTGAGTGCCCTTAAATATATGCGCAAGAGAAGCCGGGTTTGGGCCCCAACAGTGGTGCGGATTTCTTCTATAAAGAAACTTGGAATCAAAGAGCTTTGGGAGAGAATGGCAGAATTTCAGACCAAGATGTCCAGCAGTGGGGAACTGTTCCATAAGCGGAAAATACAACACAAAATCTGGATGTGGAATTACATCAAAGAGAACATTTTGGAGATGTTTCGAGAGCATCCATCAGTGAAATCTAAACTGTCACATTTGGAAGAACAGGTTGATCAAAGGACGATAAATCCTGGTATGGCTGCTGATATTCTTTTGAGAGAATTCATGAATAGATCATGATGCAAATAAAATTCAAGAATGAAATAAAGGTTTTAAAATTTCATACTGAACACTCTTGGGTACCAAATACAACAAGGGAGGCAAAAATCATCTATCACATCCATCTAATTGGAACATGTGTGCATGTATATAAAAATAAAAACATATTAGGAAAATTGACAAAAGGGGGAAAATTTTTTTTTTTTTTTTTTTTTTACATTTCATCCCTACTTTATCTCACACACGCACAAAAATGCATATTTATTCTTAGTATAAATTTTAAGCATTATTTTACATCTAGCACTCTTTTTGGCTAGGTTTTTAATCAAGGGTCTTTTTTTGTTTTTTTTCTTATTTGGTTTCATGTTTAACAAAAAGATCTAAAACCATTTTGGATAATGTTATAATCTTTGTGATGATGAAAAGTTGAATAAAATAGTGAAGATGAAAAATATGAAATATTTGAGTTCGGTATTTTGTTACTTTTTTTATTTTTAAATTGCCATATTTCAAGATAAAGGCAATCATACCTCTCCACTGATTCTTTTTCTTTGTGTGAATTGACATGACTTATTAGGAAAGATAGTGAAGTGGTTTCCTATTGCAATCTGTAGTTTTGAATTCAGAATTGTCCTTCTTGGAATGGTTGCAACCTAAGGGTTAAAAGAGAGGATACATTGGACTTTCTAGTCCAATGTATCCTCTTTTAACCCATGACAGGGGAGAGAAGAGATGGATTCATGCTTTTCCCACAAGTATTAGTGCAAAAGTGAAAACAGACTGATCACAAACTTGAAATGAGTTTACCAATTCCATGAAAATTTAACCATTATCTGCATACTCCTGGGGCTAATCTTCTGTGTGCTGCATCCTTTCAGGACATGAGCAAGCGTGGCTCTCCTAAACTTTGTAGCTTTTAACAAGGTTTCTTTTTACCATCCCTCCCACTCCTCATTCTGCTATCCATTCACATAAGTTCATCAGGTGGGTGGCCTGTTGTTCCCTCCCGCATCCTTTTTGCATTCAATGTTGAGTTTTTCAAGCCCTTCTTCCAATTGTGTATCCCAGAAATTTCAGTTGTCTCTATTTGATTCAAAGTATAAGTGACCATTTCCTGCTCTGTCCATGGTATTCACATCCTTCTAGAGAACCATATTGCTAATACATAGTTGAAATACTCTGATGATTTTTATTTAACAAAGCCAATATCAATCTTGGAATAATTACAAAATTTTTATACAAATAAGATGTTTCAGGTTATTGGAAAATTATCAAATTATTTAATTCAAGAATCAATGCTCTTTTCAGAATGCTGCTAGTATTCATCTTTAGGTTGGCACCACATCGATATTCTTTTCATTATCTTGTCATTAAAATGTATTTTTACCATAAATTAAATTCTTCAGATAAAGGCTAGGATAACCAGAACTGATATTTTTATTCCCCACTCAATGCAAATTTATTTCCAACATACTAGAATTACCTAATTTTTACAGGCAGTTAGGCTGTAGTAGTAAAGTATGACTTTCAAGACATGGGCAATCATGGCTCTCTACAGCTTCTTATTTTGGTCACTCTAACATTTGATCCACTTCTGTTCCTCTTTAACCCTTTTCTGTTACACATTCACAGAAACTTAAGTTACTTGTTTGCCTTTCCTAGTTTCTTTTACCCTCAATGTGTCTGACAACTAGTAACAAAGTTAGAGGACATATTTGTACAATGAAGCTGAGGAATTGTAAATTTATTTGGATGAAAAAGATGATGTATTCCAGGTCCCTTAAGGAGTTTCATTTTATATTGGCAGAGCAGTGGTCTTTAGTTGAATTTTTTTTTTGATCCATGTTCCCACCTTGAGGGTTAAAATAGTTACCCCTAAGTAACAAACATCACTACCTAAGTCATTAATTACATTTTCCTCTGCCCTCAGGCTTTATATATATATATATATATATATATATATATATATATATATATATATATATATATATATATATATATATATATTTTAAATCAATGCACAAGCAAGATAATAATGCCATTAAGAAGCAAGGGGTTATTGGGAATGAAAGCAAGAACTTTACAAGGAACCAGAAACTCAACCCTAAACAGGAAACAAGGGATAAATCATTACTCCTGTTCAAAAGGCTTGGAAGGGGGTGTGAATAGACTACACCTATCTACTTCTATTGAGGAAAAAAAATAAATAGTAAATAAAACAGAGTTTAAGCAGAGATGTTAAAATTATAAAGTACAAGTAGACTTTAGAAGGAACAGCAGATTGCTTGGTCTTTTCACATCTGTCACCAGACCTTTTGGTTGCTAATTTTTCTCTCATTTGTTGAAGGCAACCTTAGTAAAACCAACAGATGCTTCTGCTTTTGGACATTGATTTTAGGAGACGAGAGGGAAAGTGAAGTATAGTCATGTTACAGAATGCACGTTCCTTACAAATTGTTATAGTTCTTTAAGAAAATGTTCTAACTTCATTATTTTTATTTATTAAGACAGTTTAGCTGAAAGAAATCATTAATTATTCAGTATTTGCAAGATGGGATCCTGGAAGGAGTTTTATTTTATTCTAGCTTAAAAGCTGCCCTATTGGGCAGCATTTAAGCTAACCCCTGTGGAGCCCTTTTGATATGGATTCCCGAACATGCTGAAGGCCCAAAGTTTTTGCATATTCTCAGCATTGGAAGCTCTCCTGGCTGCTGGGTTTTCATTTGCATAGGACTTTCTTTTCCTTGCTGCAGCCTTAGCTCTTTTGATTGCAATCTGATCCTCTGTTGCCATAGATTTCTTTTTGTGAGGCATACTGCTGTTGTATGCAATAGGCAACAATAAGCTACAAAAGAACTCAAAATTGATCACTGCATTTAAGTATTGCATTAATACATAAGCCTAACTTTTAAAAGTTCAACAATAATTCTTCTAACACCATTTTAATTCAAAGAAAATTTGATGTACGTAGGTCCTTACTTTCCATACAAACAATTATTTTTATTTCATGGGTGACTTTCGCTGGATTTCACAATTTCGATTATTCCCAAATTATAAAAACGGTTATCATAAAAAAAAAAAAAAAAAAAAAGCAAGCACTGAAAACAATAAAACTTGGGAATCCAAAATTTCAGGATTGCATGTCTGGATCCGGCCTGGAATGTTTTTAATTTTCTTATGGAGTCAGCTTGATTAAAAAATATGTTGGGCTATGGGTTCTAGGAATAAAGTTGAAAAAGTGTGACACGCTGACATTTCACATTTATTTAGAGAGACTTTTAAAAGTTAGAGAATTGTGGGCCTTTAATTGAAAAGGGGAGACACGGATTTTCACATTATATACAATATATTGTTAAAGAATGATGAAACAGTGGTTTGTCACCTTATTTTTAGTCCATGCATCCACTGGGACATTTAAATATCTGTATACACTTGAAAAAAAATTTTTTTTTTTTTTTTTTTTAAATAACCACTTTAGCTGTAAGTTCTCAACCACAGAATATTGTTTCTTATCACTGAAATTTTAACTTGACCCCCTCCCATAGGGCATGTGTCCTAGAGTTGGAATCAGTTCTACAGTAAAACGAGACTATAAAAATATTGATTTTTAAAGCTCTTGTGTTGTATATGAAAACAGGGAATTTAGGTGGCCTGAATATATTGATACTAATAGGTATTAATCATTCTCCAAAAGCAGATGGCCACCCCCCCCCAACCCTCTGCTTTAATGGCTTTCAAAAGCAACATACGAATCAGTGCCCTTGGTTAAGTTTACATGGAAAATTTTCTCTTAAACAGAATAAAAAGGAGATTAATTGTAAATTCAAAAGAATCACTGAGTAGAAATGAAAGAAAAGTTTAACTCAATGAACTATTCACTTCAGTTTCCAAATATGTCAAGTAATCCTTTTAGCTACATACAGCCCACCCACTTTTCAGCTCCATACAACACATTACAAAAGTAGACAGACTAACATTCTTTTTAGACATAATACATTAAGCTAACTGAAATGTTATTTTTTTGTCAGAATGAATTAAATCTGAAATTTTTACATAAAATTAATTCTGACATATTTCCTTTATATTCAAGTCAGGTCTTTTATAAACATTACCATTTTAAATAAATATGAATTTAAAAGCAATTACAATTTTAATTTTGCAACCAATATCTATTTATTTTATTTTTTTTTTTTTAAAAAAACACCCTTACCATGTATAGCCATTAGTAAAGGGTATAGATCAGAAATATAAGTGCTGAAAAGTTCTCCACCCAACCCATTCCATTCCATTGTCACTTTAGCTGGAAAGAGTGTTCTTTTATATTGTTAAGTACCATTTTTGCAGGATCCTTGCACTTATTTCTGAATTTCAACAAATTGTTTAATTTTCAAGTGCTGAACTACTGGCCATTATGAAGTTCCTGTTTTTGTAAACTGCATCTAGAGATTATATGCAAAAGAAGTATTGTCAAATATTTTATGTAAAATTCATAGATATGTGTTATCCAATGAAATAATTTGTACTATAATCTATTATATATAGCGAGTAAGCATGAAAGCAATGAAGTCCCAATTTTCAATTTCAGATTGATATTTAGTATTTTTTCAGTAATTATAGCCATTTGCAGTGTCAAGAGATTATTTGCAAGAACTAGAATTTAGTATTATGGCTCGTAAAAAAAGAACTGACAATGAATGAAAAGAACGATATAATCAAAGAAATTAGCAAAGGAAAGTCTTTGCTTCAAATTTCTAAGGATTTGAAAAGGGATCATCGAACAATCAAGAAAATATGTCAAATGGGAATTCAACCAAGGAAGAAAAAAAAAAAAAGTCTCAGGCTGAATTCAGGAATCTAACAAAGTGTGATCTATCACATATCCGAAGAGAATTAATAAGAAACCCAAATGCGTCAAGTGCGTTCATATTTGAGGTTGCAGGAGCTCCTATGGTGTCAAGGGAAACAAGGTGTAAAGCATTAAGGAAGTTTGCTGATGTAAAAAAAATCAAATAAAGAAACCCATTTTAACAAAAAAAATGTAAGGAAAGAAGATTGCAGTGGGCAAAAAAAATACATGAAAACTGATTTCAGTAAAGTGCTTTTTATAGATGAATCAAGGATCACCCTCGATGGGGCCGAGGATGGGTCTACAAGCAACATGACTCAAGAAAATTTTTTAAACACCAACAAGGCAGTGGTGGGATCATGATATGGGCTGGGATTATTGGTAATGAGCTTGTGGGTCCATTTCAACTGAAAGACGGGGTTAAAATGAATTCGAAATTTCTTTGAATGGCTTGATAGCCAGTCTTTAGCCAAGCGTAGATCTATGATCTTTATGCAAGACAATGCACCAAGTCATGCATCAAAGTTTACTAAATCCTGGTTGAAAGAAAATGGGATTTGTTGAAGATTCTCTTATGGACTGGCCTTCAAATAGCTGTGACTTGAATCCCATTGAGAACCTGTGGAGCATCCTCAAGAGAGATATTTATTCTAATGGAAGGCAATTCAACAGTAAGTGTGACCTCTGGGAGGCAGTTAAAGTTGCTGCAAACAACTTACCAGCCTCTAAAATTGCAAATCTAACATCAGATGTTGACAATAGGCTGCTAAGAGTTATTGAAAAGAAAGGAGCAATTGTGCAATAAATTTTAGGAGGTTCTTATTTTTTGTTAATATATCTTATTTTTAAAATAAAATGTTTTTTTTTTTATGTTTTTCCTTTAAGAAATTGATGAATTTGTTCTAAAATCTTTTCATATTATTTTTTTACATTAGTTTTACAAGGTATAATAATGTAAAAGTATCAAAATAAATAGTTGCAAATAAACTACTGACAGTCAAATTAGTCTGTTTTGTTAACTTAGTAAAATTTTTTTTTTTTTCCAACTAAAAAAACAATAGTTTTCTATCACTATATATCTAAGTTAATAATATTGAGTAGAATCTAAACAACATCATAATAGGACTTTTAACATTAAAGACGCAACTCTTTATACCAATTCATAACTTGCATATAATCTCTAGACGCAGTTTATATGAAAACTCCAAAGGAAATTCATGAGTGCTTGATGCAAACATTGGATGAAAAATACCCTTATATTCAATTGTGAAAAAATAGCGTGTATTGTGTTTATAAATAATGTTGGGTATGCAGGAACTGTTAGCCAAGTGGGTACCAAATTGTTTGGATGACATCCCAAAACAATACTGACTGGACACCTCAAGTTGATTTTGCTGCATTTTCACTGGTCCCATAAACACCTCATTGTCTTGTAATATTTCCTCAGCAGTGGGACCACTATAATTTGGAGACAAAACAACAGTAGCAACACCTCAAATTTATTCAGATGCAGAAAACCCATCTAAATGAAAGGTGATGACCAAAGTTAGTAAATAAAAAAAAAAAAAAAAAAAAAACTAAGTGTAGCTTAGATTTGGCACAAGTATGAAGCACCTAGTGAGGATTAAACTTGCTAAGTTGTAATTGATCAAGAAAGACAAGCTTGTTAACCATGGCAGTTACAGAGCTGTCAAGATGTTTTGAAGTATGTGTTTGAATGAACAGACCATCAAACCTAATCACTACATCCATTCCCTGCTTTTAAACCTTAAAAAGGAGGACATTTTCAAATGACTAGTATTTTAATGACCAATTTAAAAAAAAAAAAAAAAAAAATTTTATGGAGGAAAGATTAAAGAAACTTGAGAAATAATGTGCCAAGTGTGTTGGATTACAAGGTGAATATGTGGAATTGCACAAGTTTCATGGCTTTAGGTTCTTCCCTCCTAAGCACCTCCTCATATTCACCCATGTTAGTCTATTTATCCATGCAATATCTTGAAAAGTTTTCAATAACATTCTGTGGAAGGGTGGGCCAAGTAACAACTTATTGAATTTTGTGGATGAACCTACAAATTCTTTGATTGAGAGACATTTCATATGACTACAGATGTTAGTAGGATATAGAATAATGTGCAAACAAAACTGGAGATACTGAGACAAAGTGGAAAAGCGAGTTAAGACAATGCATTTCAATGGTTTATGATAGGTGCCTTCAAGTTTGAATGAGAAACAAACCCATAATTTGGAATATGGGAAAGAGGTAGTAAAGATCCTTATCAGATGCTGTGACCAGAGAGTTGTTTTTTTCCTCTTTGTTTTGAAGCCATTAACGTCTGCTGGATTTGAAATGAGTTCTCTAATAGCTCGCATACTGCATTGTGCTCTTGCAATGATCGCTAATGACTAAAATAGAATTAAAACTTAAACAGTTACCTCCCCTGCACTGTATCTATCTGTCAAGATATGAACTGATTTTCATTGCTTTTAATGTGCCAAATGCTTTTTAGTTTCTTTGGTAATTCTTACATTAATAAGTCACTTTCTACAGAACCTGTTGCCAATGTAACACATTGGGAAATAGTAGGATCAAACTGTTAAATATGGTAAAGCACTTAGCATATTGTTTGAGTTTAATACATTTTTGTAAGATATTATATGACCTTTTTCAAGAATTTGTTTATTCCTGTACCTGAACACGACCAATCCAAATTTTATTTAATTCATAACTTTCAATTGAGATCATATTTGTAAAATGGCAGTGAAAATAAAACTTATTGTCAATGGCTTCTATGAGCTGATGAACTTCTTCAAATGATAACCAAACATTAATTTGATTTCATTTTCTTTCTTTAGATATGCAAAAGGGTAATCTAAATTCAGATGGGAAAATGGAAATTATTCTAAAATGAACTCATGTTATTTTGTTAATATTTGCAAGCAAACAAAACCTGGCATGATTGTACACACTTGTTGCAAGAATACTTTAGATGAAACAAGACAGGTGATTCTGTTTATCAGTTTCCCCATTGTAGATATTCACTGGAGTAACCCAATCCTGTCACATTAGCACTCAGAAAGGAACAAATTTAACAATAAACTTAACCTCTTATGTTTACTGCACTAATATTTTTCTTACTGATCAGTTCTTGAAATTTCCTTAAGCTTTCACTCTACATTTGATACATGAGAAATGAGTTTTAAATGTGCTATCCTGAATGATAGTTCAATGTTTACAGCAGATGACAGGAAACTACATAATCAATTAAGCTTTATGACTAAAAGAGAAAAATGAGCATGTATGATAGTGTATATAAGAGAGAAAACAAATCACAAATCTTAATAACATGGAAGAAGGAATTTCATAAAATGCATTTGTTTTTTTTAAGTTTCAATTTCCCCCCACTTTTAATTTCCTCTGACAAAATTTCCTCTTTTATTGCATTATTTTGCAAAAACTTCAAAATATACAAAGTATGTTTGGGGCCAAACATTTTTAAAACACCAGAATTTCAAAACATCAATCTAAATTCACAACTTTACTTCTTTCACTCAAGACTGAACCTTTCCTTTTGAATTCTTAAATTTGTGAGAATAACACATTTATTTAGTGGATTTTTTCCTCTCTTTTTTTTTTTTTTTTTTTTGGCATCACCTACAATCCAGTGTCTTTGTTACTTCAATTTAAACATCCATGAATCTTGTTCTACAATATTCAGTTTGTTTGATGGAAATAATAATAAAAAAAAAAAAAAAATGCTGTTCATCTGGATAAGAATTTTCATGTGAATAAAACGAAGAATGAAAAAGTTTGTTTTTTTTTGTTTTTTTTTAGAAAATAATCTTTCTGTAAAAACTAAAATATTTTTTTACCTTTTTTTAAATTTATATTATATGTAATGCTTTGTGTGTGTGTGTGTTTGTTTATTTGTTTTGGTACTGGGGAGGATGAGAAAAATCAACCCTGGCTTATTCTTTTAGCCATGTGTCACTATATAGAATTAAAATTCACCAGAAGATCTTTTTCCTTTGCAGACAAGGCCTCCAGTAATACAAAGTCTTTGCTTGTTTCATAACTTAGTAGTTTTTTTTTCTTTTTCTTTTTTTTAAGGTTTGTTTATCTATTTAAAAAGTGAGAGACACAAACATCAAAAATATGCTTATTCTCCGGTATCATTTTCACTTTTCCCTTTCTTATCTGTTTTCTTTTTCTTGTCAGGTAAAGTTGGGGACAAGCTGGCGGTGACACCTTTCAAGAGTCCAGTCAAAGTTTTTTCACACTGCTTCAGAGCACTGTACAATCTTTTGTTCTCGTTCTCTGCAGTGTTTGCTGTCTCTATGTGCTCCTCACGTTCCTTCTTCATCAGAGCTAATTCCATTTGCAACCTTTTGCTTATCTCTTCTCCTTTGGTCACTTTGTCTTTTAGAATTTCTATCAAGAGAATAAAAAAAAACATCATTCAAAAAAAATAATTACAAAAAATCTGAGCGGCAAATAAATCTTAAAATGTTCTACATTTATATTTTTTTTTATCATTAACAGCACTTCGGAAGAGATTTTGGCAGACTTTTGCAAAAAGTGGTTAATTTCAGTCATAGCTCTTTCCACTGAAGCAAAATTATAGCCAAGTGCTTTGATACATAAGAATGCTAGAAAAATAAAAGTGTTAATAGGTTGTAGAATATCTGAGAGAAAGTGGAAAAACTATTCAGACAATGTATTTTGCTTCTTTATGGCAGGCATCTTCAAACTGGAATGAGACAAACATGAGTCGGAAGTTTGAGGAAGAGGTAATAATATTCTCATTAAATGCTATGGCCTGAAACTCACCATCTTCACCATAGTGAAGCCATCAATGTCTGCTGGACTTGAAATTAACCTAAATTGAGCTCAGGTTTTATTCTCTATTAGTTCTTATATCACACTGTGCTACTAGTGCTTTTGCTATGATCGGTGATATTGTATATTGACCATTGTCTGAATAGTTTTTCAACTATATTTCATTATCTCCACAAAGATATGATGCATAAGAGTTATCATCACTGATTCACAATTAACCTGAATAGTTAAGCAACACAGCATCAGTTTAACATGAGTCAGTGGAAAATGACAGACATCACAAGTAGATCACTCATTAAATGCTAAAAAACAAACTTTTGGCCCAAATAACATTGCAAATACAGGGATATATTTTCCAAGTAGATTAATATACAAGCAATGAAAGCTGAAAAATTCTTAGCCTGATTCACTTCCCAAAATTTTACCAATTTAAGTCAAGTAGTTTCATAACAGATATACAGAGATTGTAAAGAGGCACTGTTGCTTACCGATTTCATTGGTAAAGTCTTGCAATTTCTCCTCCAAGGCACTCCTGTTCTTTTCACTCTTCTCAAGACGCTGAGTGATGCTGTCAATGTCTATCAAAGCTCCATTGTAACTGATAAAGCCAGAATTTGGAGCAAAATCTTCTTTTTCCTTTTTTGGAGTTTTACTAAAATCATCTGATGCATTCTTGTGCTTCTGTGCATTCAAGTACATGTAATTACCTGTCAAAGATATCACAAGACACACATTGCAATATTAGATCATAAAAGAAAGAAGCATTACTGTATAAAATTAGCTTACTTCAACTAAATTTGTATTAATAGTGAAATTTGTAAATGAACATTTTTATTTATGTGTAAATGCAAATCAAGACAATATGTATTTTTAAACCTTTTTTCATTTGCACTGATAAATGTATCTTGAATGTGGTCATCTTCTGACTAACTTTCAAGAAAAGGAAGGCATGACTGCATTAAACAAAAACAAAAAAATGATTCTTCTACATTTCAATAAGCCTTCAGCCTACCGAAATGAAGAAGCACCATTTTTTTTTCTACACATACAACCTTATGTCTAATAAGGCCCCAGAGAACTTAAAACGATTACTTAGTTACTTATTTTAGTACATAATTTTACAATTATTGCCACATGACAGAAACAATAGTCAGCACATTATTTAAAAAAATTAGCTGTAAATAGTCAATAGTGCCTGTTTATAGGCCATCTGTCACTTATATTATTGCCAGCTAAGACTGTTTTTACATTTTGGGGAATCTTATCAATTGAAAATAATTTAATAAAAACATTTCACTTTGTTAGTTTTATTGCAGATAAAAATGGTAGAAAGTTTTTCTCAACTGAATTATTCAATGTCATCATCATCATCTTAAGATGAAGATTCACCATTAAAAAAGAAACATGTATAAGAGCCTAAAAAACTATGGCATTTTAAGGACAAAAATTCGATGAAAAGGTTCCAGAATATTACTTGCAGAACAGAAGAAATGAGGCAGGCCGAGGAAAGCAATATTTGCTCTAATAGTCAACTAAATTTGCATAATACATCTTATAAATAATTTCCATCTATTTATAATAAATTTAATTTACATCTAACTTAAATTCATAATTAATAATAGATTTGTATCATTTCAAGTTTTTGACATCTATTTAATGCTTTCAAACCTACTTTTATAAGATTTGAAAACTCCTTTAAGTAACACACTAACCAATTTACTGTTTTAGATAGATTATGAAATAAGTAGTACAGTAATCATTCTAAGTAATGCGGTTAATCAAAATAAGTGTTGCATAATAATGCTGATAATAATAGCTTCTGATCATAATTGATTGGAGTTGTTAATACATACCAGTTTTGTTTCAGTAAATTATGACTGACTAATCATAATTTACTGAAACAAAAGTTATCAACCTTTTACAGGTTATTTAAAGATAAGAATATTTTTGGAGATAATAATGATTTACTCATACAAGTTATACTAATTAAAATCATAGCTGGGGCGTGGGGTGGGGTGGGGAGAAGAGGTAATTCCTACCTTTCCCAAGGGTATTTGCATCTAAGTAAATATAACAAATCCAACTGGAACAAGAATAATAACAATTTTAGCTGTAGTAATAGGGTTGTGAAGCATTTTCCTGGTATGCCTTTTCAGACTGGGTCCCATGATGGTTATATTGGGCTTTGTAAATTTCTACTCCAGCATCACTGTTAACTTTCTCCTCTCTCTCACAACACTCATTATGCTGATGATAAATCTTATTAAATATGCTATAATATTGCCAATCAATTTAAGACTTATCAATAATTCATGAAATAATGGATGTATTTAAAAAGATATAAAAGTACTAATGAGATTACCTTGAGCCAATTTCATGTCATCCATCTCTGTAGATTTGATATCAATTTTGCCATCTTCTGAAGAATCTTCAGATTTAGGTCTATCAGTCAATTTCCTGTAGTTGAGAGCATCTCGAGTAACAAGTTTCTGAACAAACTTACGAACCTAAGAAAAAAAAAAAAAAAAAAAAACGTAGAAAACATTGTTTACATTTATTTAAATATAAATAGGTCAACTCATAAGGATAACAAATATGGCTGTGTCAAAATTAAACTGATGAAGAAAAGGTAAATACCACAATTTACAAGAAAATGTATTTCTCTCCAGAAGATATACTTTAAGTAAGACGAACTTTGTTTGGATTTGACGAGTTAAAAAATAAAACTCTTATTAACCTTGTAAAATGAAATAGGTTTATCTAAAACAAATGTGTTCAAACTTAAAGAAAATGTCACACATTGGCTTGTAACTCAATTTTAAAAATGATTGACTATTTATTTTTTTATTTTGTAAAACAGAAAATCATTTCTGTCAGTATCTGGTTACTTATATATCTATCCTTGAAGATTTGTATCTGTGAAAACATGGGTGTAATGGGTATACCAATGAAGGAATGGTATAATTATATATTTTGTTCAGTTCAATATGATGATCTTGTTAAACAACACTGTTTTACATTTCTCCTGTAAATATAGGGAATGAATAGGACACATACAACCCTATTTGAATCTAATGGCTTGGAATATCAGAAGTAATATAAGACTATCTAAACAGACAATGCATACCTGTGCCCGGGACAACTGCATTCCTGTTGTGTGGATGATTTCCTCAATGTCTTTGTCCAACAAGTAACCAGTATGATTTTGGTCAAAGTAGACAAAAGACAAGAGTAAGGAAGGATCGGTGGTGTGATATTTTCTCTTTTCTTTCTTTTTATCATCTCGGTCTTTTTTCACTGCAATCAAAACACAAAACATTCTGTACATTAACAATAATAACACTTGAGAAAAAGAAAGAAATTTATTGCAAGAAAAAAAAATTATTTCATTACTTGCCAACAAAAAAGGCCAAATAAAACAAACACAAAGAAATAGGCTATGAAATAACTGTTATTGATAATTTGCCAACGAGACATTTGGAAGCACTTTGACCTGATCAGCATTTTGTTGTAAAGTAAGACTCGGCATACTTCCTGCTATTCCTTACTATTGTGATAATGGACTGCTCCTACTAATAAATATGGCAAAGTAGCCACATTAAAGAAGGTTTTGAGTAGTATTTGATTTACTCAAATTTTCCATTCTATGTATGAGCATTTAATAAACCTCTTTGCTTCTTCTATCAGATCTTCTGTTCCTTCAATACTCTCTCTAACGATAGCCTTCCCAATTCTTGAATATTTTGAACAAAGAGAACATAGTAAAGATTTTTAAAACTGATTTTTATGCGTTTTAATTCACTCCATGTGAAGATAACTGACAGTCACAACAGTAGCCAAAATAAAAGTATATATATATATATATGCTGTTCTATTTCAGCATAGACTTTTGGCTCCTATTCTTAAATAGGATAAATTTCAGATATTAAAAGATAACTATTGTAAAATGAATTTATTCATGCTAAATTATGGCATTTTAAAAAAATGTAGAACCATAGAATATCAGGAGAGTGAGCAAAATTAATTTTTCTATTGATTTAGGATTTGATTAAAAAAAAAAAAACAAAAAAAAAACAAGTATTAAATTTATTAGCAATATTTTTCTTATAGCTAATATGAGAGGGTGCTAAAAGGTTCTCAGTCAAACCAACTCCCCCAAATCTGATCAAATGACCAGCCATAAGAATTTTCTTTTGATGGGGAAGGGTTTCGTGGTGAGGTCAAAAACTTCAGCACCTCATCACAGAATTACTATTGTAAAACAAAAGAAAATTCAAATACAAGCTTTTAAAATAATAGAAAGGACCCAAATTTCCCAAACAAACTTACCTTTATCTCTCTTGTCATCTTTCTCATCATCATCAGGCTGTAAAGAGAAAAAGGAAAAACAATTCTTATATTTATAGAGAATTTTCTTCAGAAGCATAAAATTTTACTAACAAGACTAGGAAATGTTTTTGTTTAGCTGGAGGAATTACATGAAATGTTCAAAGATTTTTAAAAAAGTTCAATAAGATTACTAAAGAGCTCAGTCAATTACTATTTCTAGGGTCTGAAAGTAATGAATGAATTAAATGAAAACTCATTTTCCATTCATTTGTAATTTCTCTATATTCCCTGTATTTCCTGTGAGCAAACATTTAATTTTGACACAATATTTTAAAAAATACAATTTGTAACGATTCTAAGAATAAATATTATAGAACACTTATTGTCTTTGATCTGCCAAAACTAATGAAAATTTAACAACTATTTTTAATCAAGAGACTAACAAAAACTAAATGCAAAAAATAAATTTACAAAAAAGTTGAGCAACTTTTGTAAATATACAGCAAGAAAACCCTGAAAGAATTATTTACATGGGGTTGGGGGGACAACATTTCAGCACTTCTACAAATGGGGCAGCAGAAAATAAAGGAACTTAATTCTGCTGTCATTGATTCAGATTTATATGATTTTGTTTTATTTGTATATCTCATTAACAACAAATTGTATATTGGTATTTATTTATATATATATATATATACACACACACACTTTATATGATGTATATGTATACAGATACACATTATATCCACAAACAATGAATACAAGAATTATAGCATTCCACTGTCTTCTAAGCTTATATGGTCAGTTGGTACTTCAAATACAAGTTTATGCAAAGAAAATAAAGAATAAAATAAGAATCAATAAAAATAGTTAATTATAATGAAAATTTATATAAAAAAAAAGCAAAAAAATTTTTACCTCATCATCATCATCATCTTCATCCATATCTTCATCATTGCCATTCATTTCTTTGCCACTGTCCTCTTCTCTTCTCTTATCAGATTTTTCTTCATCTAACTTTTTCACATCCTGTAAAGAATAAACACTATGGTTCAACAATTGTGAAGTGATAGAAGAAGCTCACAACATAAAAATCATCTGATGCACAAGGGGAAATCTCAGTTTTAAATATAAAGAGGGAAGAATTTATAATGAACAAGGCTTCTCAATTGTCGATATTTGAAATTATTGCTATTATTTGGATTATTTTAATTAATCTGCAATTAAAACAACACACAGGTAATTTGGAAAACACTTCATAATAATCTTAATGATATGAAAAAGACTGGGGAACATATTTTCAAAGTGCTTCCTATTTAAAATTATAAGCTCAAGTTCAATGTTTTATTTGATATATCAAATAATACTAAATTCTATCACAAGGCTATCATTGGGATGCACAAAACAAAACTGATATTTTATCCAGACAAATTTATAACATTTTTGTAACTACAATATTTCCATACCTTGTCTTCCTTATCACTAGAGGATTTTTTTCTCTTGTTATTAGAATCCTAGGAAAAAAAAAAATAAATAAATAAATATGGTTAATAGACAATACAAAATAATTTTTCTGGAATAAAGGACAAAAATTAATCCCCATAAAATATTATCGCAAGATTATATATAAGAAAATTTCTCATTAAAAATATGCATAACGATTTTTGTGAATTTCTGTGTGGCTGTATATAATTTCAACTGAATTCTTTTTTCTTTTTATTAATTTTTAATTTGCAAGAATTTACATCAAAAACCTTTTTCTTTTATAAAGCCATGATGATTGATCAGTGCTTTTTTTTTTGAGTATTGTTTCTGAGGTAACTAAGAATAAAAATTTGAGTAAGAATTTTTGAATTCAACAAAACTAGTTTATTGTTGGTTAAGACAATTATAGAGATAAAATATAATGTACCTTGTCTTTTGATGACCGATCATCTTTTGGTGATGACTTTTCATCCTTTGAAGAAGATTTTTCATCAGATTTTTTCTTGTCCTTCAGTTTGTCATCCTCTTTTTTTTCAGGAGCCAAAGCAAGAGCTTTGTAAATTTTAAAGCCAAAATCACGCATCAGCATTTCATTGAATAATTCTGCAAACAAGGAAACCTACAAAAAGAGTTGAAAAAATAATTATATTAATATTTCCTGCATAGAAAAAAAAAATATTTTTATAATTATTAAAACTAAAACTAAATTTTTGATTATGATTTTTCTGTTTCAATTTATAGAATAAATAACTAAAGAAAAGGCTGAGGTCTAAAATTAAGGGCTTAAACATTGAGAGTTGGAATTTATTTTGATTTTCTACAGTCTGATTATAAAGAGAAAACCTTTGGGGAAAAAGTTGAATGGGAGTAAGCAATGGTCAAATATAGTCACAACTAAAATGACACTACAGCCACCACTTTGGATTTACGTACCATGATTAATTAAATTTTTTTTCAAGAGTATTATTACACAGTAAACAAAGATTCTACTTGACTGTTGATTTATGAATATAAAAATAAACTATAAATGCAGTTTGGCTGTAAATACTTCTCCAGGAAAAATAGTATGTCTTTTTTTTAAACTGAAAATTAAAAATTTTTTTTGTCAATGTCAATTCACACAGACTTGAAAAATTGCTTCATTAACTTTGAAAAATCTTAAAATCAAGATAAACAAGTTTGTTGTAAGCTAATGCTAAGTTTATAACATTGCAATTCCGGATTTTAAATTATTTATATATATTTTTCAAGCTTAAGAACATATTATGAGATAAACAAAATGAAAATTAATAAGTCAAAAATATACAAAATGAAATCAGACTAACAGGTCTTTTAGATTCTGTGCTCATGAAATTTAACAAAAATAGTTTTTAATGAACTTAGTATTCCATTTGAAGTTAGTAGCTGTTATAATAAATAGTAAAAAAAAAAATATTAATGGAAAGAAAGATTAATAAAACTTTCCTGATTAATTGTGCAAAGTTCTTTATGTCACTATACTGAAAAAAAATGGCATAAAACCAGTGCATAACCTTATGTGAATAATACAAAAAAAAAAACAAATCTATTTCAGCAAAACAAAAAGTCATAACTTTAATTTAAATTAGACAAAATACTATGAACCATTATTAATTTTGATTTAGTATTTCAGTTGCTTTTCATCACAATTCCTAGAAACAGTGCAGATCATAAATAGAGAAACTCTCAGCAAAACTTGAACTTGCATCCTTTTCACCTCAAGACACCTGTCTTAACCATGACGACCACTTTTACTTTAAATTTTCATTTTACTATTTTATCTGCATAGAACAATAAAAACATGATAGGATGAAAAATAAATAAGCCAAATAATTCAAAGTAATCACATTCATTTACAATGCAAAGAATTCATACTGGATGTACCTTGAAATATTTGTGTACTGAAGTCAAAATACCTGGAGGGCTAAAGTAAGATTTGTAATTTTCTAAAATTACAAAAATCCTCAAATCATAAATTATGAAACAAATGGTGTATTCACTATGTTGTGGAGTAAAGAATACACCCTTGGTGACTTTGAACTTGTCCATTACTATAAAGAGTTCCATGTTATGAGGTCAGTATTAGTTGTATTGGAGTCAGTCTTCAAAATAACTATACAGGTGTTACAGGAATAGCCTAAGCATTACATTTAGAGAATACTTGAATTACGTTATACCAAGTGCGAGTATGTGTTATAACAATAACCCTACTATAGGAAGTTATAATATACTGACAAGTCACCCGGTTCACACTCTTCCCAGATCTTTTGAACAGAAGTATAGGTTTATCCGTTGTCTCCTGTTTAGGATTGGGTTTCTGATTCTTTCTAAAGTCTACTCTATACTTCTAACATTTGTGTGAACTCTGAAATTTTATTTACTAATTATTTTTTTTCTTTCCTCAACAATAGACAAGCTTGCCTATCCTTCAGTTTAAAGTCCTCCCCAATCTTTTAAACAGAGTATAGGTTTATCCCTTGTTTCCTGTTTAGGTCTGGGTTTCTAGTTCCTTCTAAAATCTTAATTCTCTTTTTCACTCCCAGTAGCACATTATATCTTCATGGCATTGTTGCCTTATTTGAAACAAATTAATAATAATAATAAAAAGAAAAAAAAAAAAAAATCAATTTTTTTTTTCATGACAGTCTATTTTTTGTAACATACCTAGAGTTTTAAATAAATATATCAACTACAAAAGGAGCCATTATCAATTGAATGTTGTGTATAAGGACTCCACTCCTTGCCTGAGATAAGGTTAATAAAATATTTGCAGTAATTCATTGAAAATAAAATATTCAACCTTCTTAAAAATGAAGACAGATAATTACAAGGTGCAACTTTTACCAAAACATTTTACATTTTCAATCCTTTCATTTTATATATAAAGGTATAAAGTGAAAAATTACTTGGTTTGCTCACCTCAAAAGAATGTTCTTTATTGTCTTCTTGACGATAGTCCAGTAAGACACTGAGGGACATAACAGTGCAATCAAATTTTCCTCCTTTAGCTGTTGCTGATGGATGCACAATGATGGAGGGCTTATCTGGAAGGGTATATTTGCGCTCCATTAGAGCTAACTCCTTTTCTTCTTTACGTTTCTTTTCTTCTTCCTAAAATAATACAAATACAAGACAGGCATCAATCTCTTTCACAAACATACATTAAAAACAATAAAACATTAACCACTAATAACATTAGATTCTATGAATCTAGTTTTGGAAGCATTGATAAAAATTTGCTTCTTTCTTTGAGATAATGATTTAAAATTAGTAACTATTTTCAAATATTTTAGGGACAGATCAGTGCCACATTTAAAAAAAATATTGAAAAATTTTTTTTTTCTTTTTAACTTCAGGATTTTATTTTGTTAACTATATTTACCAAATCAGTGTAACAAATTCACCCAGAAAATAATTTCATATTTATAAGCATAAAATATTTTTATACTCAACTATTATGTATTATTTTTTTTTCCCTTATCAACTTATGCAGAAAAAAATTATTCCATTTTAAACATCATTGAAAATCTTGACTATTTAGAAATTTAAAAAAATGGGTTAAAAAGATGAGCCAATTAAACATTTGTTCTTATTTCTTTGTCAGATTTTGTTTAACACTATTTCAACCTCAATGGGTCATTTTACACCAACCAGGTGAATACAGATATTACACACACACACACACACTTTTTTCCTTTTCCAATAATTAGAGGGGCTCAATTTGGTTAGTACAATTTGTTTTATACAAAGTTTTTAATGAAAATGAACATTCTATCCTTTATTCCAAGGTTTTTTTGTTTTTTTTTTACATCTTTCAGGATACCATACTTCCATGTTGAATTGTAGGCTTTTCAAGGTAAAAAAAACAAACAAAACAAAACAAAACAAAAAAAAAAAAAACAATATTAGATGATGCCCTTGTACAAATCAGACTCTGATAAAGGATTCAATGCAGACAAGTCAATCAATGGTGCTTCTGTTATGTCTGAATCTATTTTGATATTCGGATACAATGTTATTTTTTTCCAGAAGTCATTAACCAGGCATTTACCATTCTTTCCATGGTTTTACAAAGGCAGCTGGTAAGAGAGAGAGAGGATGATAATTATTTGTGTCTGAGGCAGGCATCTTTACTCAGATTAGGAATTCAGATAATTACTGCTTCCTGCCATTTGGGAAAGTTTCCTGTGTGTGCCATGTTATCAAATATGCCCAACAATACTAAAAGGGGATGTTTCTGGTAGGTGTTTTAAAAATTGATAATGTTCATCATCTGGTGCAGTAACAGTGTCATGGCACTTACTAAGGGACTCTTTCAATTCATACATAAATGCTAAATGGTATATTGCAATTTTATTGTCAGAAGAATTAACTTTTGTTTTTCAGCCTTGTATTTAAACTTTTGGAATACAGAGTAATAAAAATATTCCATTGATGCATTATTTTCAAGTTCTTCCACTAAGTTAGCAATTTTTGTGCACTTTTGTCTATTTCATTTATTCAGGTACATTTTCTTCACTATATCACACTTTCTTCACTGGTACATTAGTGTCAAATTTTGATATGTACTGTTTTTTTGATTCTCTTTTACAGATTTTAATGATGCACAAGCATCTTGATAGTTCTGTAGGTCAATTGTTGTTGGCTCAATTTGAAATTTAAAAAAAAAAAAATGTTTCTTTTCAGTGTTTAATTGCTTACCTGCATTCAGTTGTGATCCAAGGTTTATGTTTGACTTGTGATTTGGCCAAAGATTTAGGGACTGTTTGTCCCACCACTTTGACTGCTAAACTTGTAAGTGGGTGTGGTTCTTTAAGTATTTTATTGGAAATTAAGGATTGACAAAGGTCTGTGAATGGCTCTAGTATGCTAAGTTTGCCTTATGGATTTGACATTTAGGGATTCTCACCTGTGCTATTGGTTCATTAGAGTCAATTAAAATAAGAGTGGTCACTCTCACATTGATCTTCATGGACTCTCCATTGGAAGTCCATGATAGTTAAGGAGGAACAAATTGATAGATCTATGGCTAACATAAAACCAGAAACTGGATTGAGGTAAATGTAGGATTTGTCATTGAATAAAAATAAATGATAAGTTTGTATTAGGTTTTCAATGATATGGCCAAATGGGCTGAAGATTTTGCAACCCCAAAGTTGCTATAGTCATTAAAGTCTCTGACCAGTAAGAAAGGAGTGGATAATAGATCAATTAATCTGTTAATTTTGGTTTATCCTAATTTGTATTACTGAGAAATATATAGTAAAAATATGGTTAATATACCATGAAGAGTGATTTTAATAGCTGTGGCTTGTAAGCTTGTGCTTAAGTGTAGTATCTTGTGTAGAGTGGCACCTTTTTACTAGTATTGAAGTACCACTAGCACATTTGAAATTGTGGTTAAAAATCTTTTCTTTTTTTTTTTCCACCAGCAAGTGGGCCAAAGATTAGTATAGGAATTTTTAGTGTCTTTTTAGTGTTGAAAACACATTGTTTTGGAAATTCTTGCAAAAATCAAATAATTGTCAGATTTTAATTAAATTTTCAGGACTTATTAACAAATTATTTTTTAAATTCTTATTTTTAGATAAAACCTTGGTAAATATATGTTTTTTTACATGTTAATTAATTTTATGAAATTTTGAGAAATAAAAATTTCTACCTCTTCATATTTATATTAGTTAAAATAAGAATCCTTGGAGAATTTAAATCCTCAATTTGTTTTTGTCAAACAGAATCATTTACTGAAAAACCTGCTGTAAATTGTAAAGTAAAAAATGCAATAAAACTATGACATTATTTAATTAGAAAAGCTTTTAATTGCTTTTATAAATAAGATATAGTAAGGACAATTGTCTTAAAAAAAGTTTCTCAATGAATAATGAATTTTTGCAAGAATTTTATTTTTTTTTAATTTTAATTAGAAATATTTATTAAGTTTTAAATCTTAAAATTCTGTACTAATTTCAGCCTTTTAGAGGATATTAAGTGACAACTATATTTACTAATCATAAATGAAAAAGCTTAATACAAATCAAACACCAATATTTTTAAAAGAATTTTCAATATTTTTTTGCATGTGTATAAACACGCCTATTTTTGTAAGTATGAGCGACCATACACAACATTATCTGAAAATAAAAGCAATAACTATATCAAATTTAAAGTTAACATTTCTAAAATGTAGTAAAGCATTAGATTATGGAGAATATTTTCATAAATTTTTTAAGATTACCGAGTACTTAAAAAAAAAAATGCACTTACATCATTTTCTTAAATTGTTTTACACATTGTCTTTGCATAATAACATTAGACCTGTCATCAGGCTGTGAACATGTCAAAACAGCTACTGTCAGGTTAAAAAATCCATTCATGTGATATTTTAAACTTAAAGTAAATAACATTGGTTTCAAATCAGATTAATTATACTTTAAATCAGCTAATATTCTTCAAAGTTTCAGAAAAAGTACATTTTATTTTTGGAAGATTTTTTAATAAAGAGAATTACATTGTAATGAAAGATGACTAAAAAAAATCTCCTTCCAGTCAATTTAAATTAGTTTTTGAAATACAGCAAAGTATTTTGCTTATTGAAAATATTAAATTTAAAATTAAAATAAAAGCTTCAAGACAGATTTTCCATTTTTAAAAATTCATCCTAAACCTTAGATAACGTTTTTTGGGGGTGGTACCTACTTTTATATCCTTTAAAGTATAAGTTGTCAGATACTTTTTGCATTGTTTCCTGTAAGCAGACTATATTTGGATTTTAGTCTGCCATCAGTTGTTTGATTTCTTCAAAATTTGCTCTAATTCCTCTACAGGTCATATTTATTGTTTTTACTTTGTAGATGGAGGACCATCCTCTGTTTCCATTTACTTAGTTATCAATGTCCTTACTTCTTTGAGATTTTTGATTTTCTCGGATTCCAGTACCTCAAATAGATCTTGTATTGAGAGGTCTGGTATTTTTGTTTTGGTTAGAATTAATGATTTGTTATCTAAGTTAGTTGGATTTAGTTCTTTTGGAGGCATTTGATTGATTTTTGCTGAGATGGAGTTTGAATCTGATTTTGTTGTGGTGGATTTTATTTTTTTGCATATTATGCTAATTTTATTTGAGTGAAGTTATCTCATCAGATTTCGATTCAAAGAGTTTATTTTTGACATTCTTGGTTGGTGATTTTTGGGGCAGCTTTTTTTGTAATTTCAGTATATGAAGATGTAGAGAAGGTACTTTTCACTATTTCTTTTGCTTTATTCTTATTCACTTTTCCAGATCTCACACTCCTTTGAATTAGCAGTATGTTTTTGCTTGCAATTTAGACATTTTCAGATGTTTTTGGTAGGTTAATCTGGAATGGTCTGTTCCATTCTCTCCACTTCATCCACACAATGGGGTTCTGGAGCATCTTTTTTTGGGGGTTGGCCAAATTGTTGGCAGTTTGAATCATCAGATTGGTTCAGGTTTGTAGGTTTCTATCTTAATAGAGTATCTGATTTTTATTTCAGGTGGAAGTTTAGTGGTATCAAATTTGAGTATATATTAGTATTAATATTTTGTCCATTTTTTTTTTTTTTTTTAAATTGTTACTCTTCCGACATCTATAATTTTGTTTCCTCAGGTTTGTCTTTATGTCCTCTAGGGAGCATGGAGTGAGATCAGAGCTTCTAATGACTCCTTTGGATAAATTTAAAATTTGGGGAGAGTAGGCTTTGATTTTTTATTCATCAAAAGTCATCCTTTTAACAATTTTTCAGAGTATACATTAATGGTATTTGTACTAATATTGTACCACAATTTTTTTTAACAGATGTAATGGAGGATATTTTTTTTCCATTAGAAATGGTGACAATTTAGTCATGGGAGTTTTTTTTCTAATGATTCAAGTACAATACATTCATGAAGAGTTTCATTAAGCTCCGTTTCACTGTCTGGGCTTGATTATAGGTGGGGTCTTTTAATTTTTGATGCCATGGAAGTTTCATTTAAAGTTTCATCATTCCTGTTCCGCATCCACCCTGGAGTCCTTTCAAGGGAGATTTGGGAGTGGGGATAGACATTTGCCCAAACATTCCAAGGATACAATGGTATACTCATATTAATGAGCTATCGCAAACATCTTGTAGTTCTTCCATTGCTCCACCCCAATTAAGTGAAACATCTGTTTATTGATGATGTTGAAATTTTGACTCAATAATTGATCCTTGTCACCATGTCCTAATACTTGTGTTGTTTACTCATGTTTGTTTGTTTGTTTGTTAGGTTATATGATGGAGTGTATGACTGGATTGGTATATATAAGTATGAGGGCTTGACTTGACATGGCATGACAAGTGATCAGATCAGGCCTCACTGACCACCTGTCTAGTCCAAGTAAAGGCCAAAGAGGAGTGTTGCAGCTTATGTCCTCTCAATACTCAGGATCCCACACTTAGGCATCATGGGTCACCACCCATAGCAAACAAGTGGCAGAGGTGCAACTGGTGTATTCTACTACTATCCCAACCAGCTGGGCCATAGGCATCAGTTAGACTTGATTAGTTAGTTTTATATATAAAAAGTACCGTATATACTCTTGTATAAACCTACTTCATGTGTGTTGCTTGATTTTTTTCATACAGCTTGTATAATGCAATTCCAGCTTCTGAGCAATACTAGTAAACCTACTATACTCAAATATTGTAGTACTGGGCATCATCATGGACATATTTTATAGCAAATAAATGGTTTTCGTTGTATAATGATTTTTTTGTCTCATAAATAATTTATTTTTGTATAATCCAGAACCTATACTGGCAGCAAATCGCTTGCATACAGATAGGAAAGGAGTTCAGTAAATATACAAAAATAAAAAGGGATATAAGACAAGGATGCATCTTCTCACCAGACCTTTTCAACTTATACAGCAAGGTCATTCTGAGAGAATTAGAAATCTTACCAGGATTCATTATTGGTGGCCACAATCCTAACAACATAAGACATGCAGATGACAGTGTTGATAACAGACACAGAAAAGAAAATACAAAATCTTCTACAGAAGGTAGTGACAGAAAGTGAGTGGAAAAGACTAAACATCAATTACAAGATTGGTTGTCAGCAAAAGTAACAGCCCAACATGCAAATTACAGATTGGAAATACAAATATAAGACAGGTGCAACAATTTAGATATTTGGGAAGCATATTAACAGAAGTGCAACACTGAAATCTGAAGGTACATTGGGATAGTGAAAAGTGTCTTCCAAAAGCTGAGCAAAGTATTAAGAAACAGAAAAATATCATTAGAAAAGAGTACTGAACTGTTATATAGTATCAGTCCTCCTATATGGCAGTGAATGCTGGACAATCTCTTCACAGAAGAGACTTAATGCAGCAGACATGTAGTTCTACAGAAGGATGCTGAAAATACTATTGACTATTGGCAATATAAAATGATACTTATACTTAACATCAGAAAAAGACAGTTGAAATTTCTGGGGCACATAATTTGGCACAAATTTGATACTCACGTGACAGATTAAAGGTAAGAGAGACAGAGGAAAGCAATGCACAACCTACCTGACAAGTTGGAATGAATAGATGGTGGAGCAGGATTTGAGAGAGATGACAAAAAAAAAAAAAATTTATTAAGTGCTACAAAGGACAAGAAATTGTGGAGGACCATGAATGCCAACATCCTGAAAGGACATGGCACATAGAGAAAAAGATAGTTTATAAATGTTCAGTAAAACAAACTATTTTCTTCGGTGTATCATAATTTCTTCCTGTAGCATGTATTGTGGTACATCTTGTCAAAATATTTTAAGAATATGAATGGAAGAATTGTAAGCTAAAATAATACCAGTAAATGTAAAGAATATAATAAAAATAAATATCAATAAACAGAGGAAGACAGGTTAAGGAAAACAACTGAAAAATATACGGTATAGATACATATCACACAAGAGGGGTACCATTGGAAAAAACACGTGCAAACGAAAATGAAAGTAAATTAGAAAAAATGCTTCATTTATATAAGATATTTGTAGATTTTAAACAGTACATGTAGTGAATGACATTCTGCTGTTTATGTAGCAACAGAAAGAATTCAGGCTACAGGAGATTACCTGTACTGCTAAGGTTAGCCAAAGGTACCGTAAAAATGTAGGCCTACCAAGCTGGATAACCAAAAATGCATTGATTTTAACCCCTCCAAAAAAAAAAAAAAAAAAATAAAATATTTACCTGAATATAGCGCAACTGGTCACTGAAAATGCATGATTTTTTTTTTTAACCTCTAAAAAAAAAAAAAAAAAAAAAAATTTACCTTACATAGTGCAACCCACCTATGTTTTGTGTAAAAAATGATCATAAAAACTGGCACTATACTTGAGTATATACGGTACATATTCTGTTATGTTGTTAAATTCTAAAAACAAATTGTCATAGTGGAGAAGCAGTTATCATTAATACTTTGTGTTAATTACTGGTTGATCTCAAAGAAGCATACTGAAGATGGAAAGATATATTAGCAGAAAAGACCCCCCCCCCAAAAAAAATGTTGGGTTTTTAATGTCTTTGTCAATTTATTGCTATGAGATTTCATGTCCTTATCAAAGCATAAAAGCAGATGCGAAAAGTTATCAAAATCTGACCAAGTGATCATACATCAGATTTTATTTTTTTTGGAAGTACTTCATGGTTGAGCTGAAAACTTTTCAGCAGTCTCTCAAGTTAAAATCTGGTCTCACTCTACCATGATGACTTATGGACAGTCATAATTGCCCAAGTTGCTGAGAAGTCAGATGTGCTGTTACTTTAAGTTCCCCCCCCCCCAAATTCTTCTTGAATAAAAAGAATATTTGCTGTGATTTACTGACCTCTTTCTTTTTCTTTTCATCTTTATCATCCACTTCCATTTTCTGAAGCTCTTCTTGCTTTTTAACTGCTTCTTCCAGCTAAACAAGACAGACAACTAATTTTAAAATGTCAATAGCAAATGATTAGTAGAACAGAAGTTATTTTACAAAATTTATAAATTGAAAAGATTAAAATGAGAAATTGATTAAAAAATAAAATAACTAGTTATAAGCCTATTTGTTAGGAATAAAGTTTAAATTCTTGACAAATAGGTTTATAACTGTTTTTCCCAACATTCTGAAATTGGGGAAAATGTTATCAATAAAAAATGACAACTGGATCTTTTTTTAAAATGATTATTTTACAAGGTTGCTCTAGTATACACTGTATCAACTGCTTTGCAGTTGACACAATGGTTTTGAATTGAACTATTCACTATATCATAAAACTTACTGGGGCCTTGAAACAAATTCATACTAGAGCCATTTTTAAAGAGGAAAAAATGAATAATCACAGACAAACGTACAGCAGCCACTTTGTTACTTTCTTGCTCTTCCTCTTCTTCCTTTTCAGTTTTTAGAACTTTTGTCAGTCGGGCAATAAGCTGAGACTTGAGTCCCTTTGAACTCAAATTACGATCTTCTAATTCACGGCGGAGATCAACAATCTGAGAAAATAAAGATAATTAAATACAAAAATGTGTAAAATAAAAAGTAAAATGAAATATCTCCACTTCATAAAAGAAAGAAGAGTTTAGCATTCCAAGATACGTTTGGACAAAAACCTATTCTTCATGCTGCTTGTATTATGATACAAAAAAGGCTTTCACATCAATCAAACTGCCACAGTAATGGTGAAGTCCTTTGCATATAATCCCAATTCTTTATTGAGAGGAAAAATAAAGTTTTCAAGCCTGTACTTATGTAAATATTCAGTTGGTTTCATTTGCAGATGTACAAGGCATACGAGTAGATATTTCTTCTTTTAAATCCATCCTTGCAGACAGCAGAATGTTTCCTTTATTACCCACCTATGCAATATTTGTTGACTCATTGAATAAAGTTAAGACAAGTATAGATGTTGGCACAGAGTAGTTTCCTTTGCTCAAGATTGAATGACGGATTTGTGTGTGTGTGTGTGTGTGTGTGTGTTTTTTTTTGCTCGTGGGTAATTTAAAGCTGAGATATATTTTAGATTGTAAGAGATTGCTTACAGTACTTGGTATCCCAAAGTGCTCCCACTTCATTTGACCAGGCTTGACACTGGTGATTGAAGGGGAAGTGATGATTTTTCCTTTGCTCAGAAAAGGCTTTTAGGAAGATCTTCATGTATTAATTTGAATCATCTGTGGAACATGAGTGATAGTAAATGGTATTATCTATGCGTGAAGCTAATGAATTGAACTGTTTAACATCTTATTTTGTTCTATAAAAATGAGAACGCTCTTTCTTTATGAATTATACATTTGAAAAAAAATTGTGTAGTATATACTATGGATTAGTCAAAACATTGTGTCATCATTCAACATATGAATAAATTTTGTAATGCTAATAACACTTTGAAAAGTTACAGATAGACATCTTATTTAGTCTAAGATTAAGGCCTCAATAAGTATGTAAAAATAGACCTGAATATAAATGAATATATTCAATGTGTGAATAATTTTTTTGGCATTAGTTTCTATATGTTCATACAGAAAAAATATCTACTGTTATAATTAAAAAAAATAAATAAACAGAAAAATAATGTTTCAAGGAAGAATATCAAATTTTTAAGACACTTTCATTTCTTATTTCATCTATGGAAGTCAAACAGATTAAAATCTAATTTCTTGGAAATTTTTAACACTTGAAACTAATTGTAAAGAATGATACTTATAAACTTCAATGTATAAGAATATAAAAGTGCCAATCATATAAGAGAAAAGAAAACTACAAATGCAGGTAACAGAATATGAATGTCTCACTAAAGCAAAAAGTTCTCTAGTGGAATAACAATATCTAATCAGAAAAAAAGAATTACCTTCATCGTTTTAGGGTCCAGTTCAGAAAAATGAGTTGGTTCTTTCTCTGGATTTGCATTTTCTTCTTCTTCCTACAAAATAAATAATAGTTGTTAGAGCATAAAAATATATATTATATAGAATTTTAATAATAAAAAAGTGGAATTGTTGTAGTCATTTATTGCTTTTGCCTGTAATTCTTAGCAATATGTCAGTTATCTCTGGTTTGCTGCATAAAAAAAAAAAAAAAAAAAAAAAAACCTGCAGTAGGAGGTAGAAATTGGTTGCCCACATTATTCTACGTTAGCCCAATCAGTCCCTGTTTTGTCCCTGAGCTAGTCTCAAAACTCACTCATCATCAGCTACTGGGGCTGAACGTATGCTAATCAGTGTAACAGAGCTAAGACAAAAAATTCAGTGGTGAAGTCAGCATACACTGGTAGCAGTATTACTCATTACAGGCTTGCTCGTTTCCAAAAAGAAATAGATACACGCAAAGAAAGAAATAGAAAGTTCAAGTTATAAAAAAAAGATTACTGCCATCAGAAGAATTTTTCTTTTTTATTGGGCATAACAGTTAAATAATTACCGCCATATTTTAATCAATAATTTTTAAAAAATACTCTAACACGAGAATACAAAAACAATAGAATCTAAATAAAACTAAAAAAAAGAAAGTTTTTAATTTGAAAGCATGTAAAATTTTCACTTACTTACCTAAGAGGGAGAGAAATATTTGTTTCTATTTTAGTGTCTCAGTTCAATTGAAGTTTTAAAATTATTTGGAACAATTTTTAGTTTTTAATATTCTTAAGCTCAAGCATTTCTACATAAAATGCAACATTATCTGGGCAGGTATTTAAAATGTGAAATTCTTTATGAATGTGATAGGGAACAATCCTGGCATATTTGTACAAAATAGGAGAATATACAATGACATAACAGATAAATATTACAAAAAATACAAAACTTTAATTTTCAATCAACATTTTGATTTATTTTGAATTTATTGTTACCTAATCTGCATATTTATCAACTTGAGAAAAACTTTAAATATTATAGTTTAAATAAATTTTAAAATTATGCTATAACTGAAGAGGAGGAATAAAATTTCATATACTTCAGCTGGGAATACCAACTTTAGAGTTTCAAGATATTAAGCCTTCTTTTATTTCAGTAAACTAACCTGAGCATGCTAACCAAAAATGATATGCATGTATGTGAGAGAGAGAGAGAGAAATGAAATAAAGAGAGTGTTTCTGAATGTAGCTAACATCCTTATTTCAGTTTGAGTGAAGTTCTTTAACATACTGAGTATTAAATTTAAAAATATTTAAATATCATATGTAACTCAATATTCATGTCATGATAGAGACAAAAGTGATATTCGAGTGTTGAATATCAAATCTAATTTATACAGTTTTTTTTTTTTTTTTTTTACTTTGCTTCCAAATAAAATCTTACAGGATTCTAAATTTACTGTTATGTACATTTACTTAATATTTTTGTCATCAAAAGTTTACAAAATCATATTTCTGGTTTTTCTTTTTAGTGAAAAAGTAACTGGAACTGGTTAAATAGTGGAGTTTAATTCAAAAGGCAGAGAAAAAAATTAATCTAAAGGCAGTAAGGTATGAAGTTTTCATCTTTTTCCAGATTTTTTTTCAAATATAAGAACATTAATAGTAAAAATGAGGAAGTATCTTTCTGGAGGCATCGTTACAAAGCAATTTGCTGACTCCACAAAATGACTTTAGGCTGGACTGTTTTCTAAAAAGGAGAATAGAAAAAAAAATGCCCCCACAAAACATAAGAGCATGTATGAAGGAAGAAAAAAACAAAAAAAAATAAAAATAAAAAAATAAAACACAAAAAAAACATAAAAGACAAAACACATACTTATTCACACACACATATTTTTTATATATATATATATATATATATATATATGCGCGCACACACACACATTATATAAATTATTTTAAAATTTTTAAAAAGAAAATCATTTCTTCCTTTAATGAGCCCCTAAGCAAAGGGGAGGAAAAAACATCCTAAAGCTGAAATGGAAAAGCAGTGTACAAGAGTAAATCAAGGAAATGGAATTGGAGGGGGAGGGGAGAAAAAAGTTCTCAGTAGGAATGTAGCAGCTGCAGCAGCGTTAACAGACCACCACTAATGTGTCGTCTCCACTGTCATCATAACTGATATATGCAAATGTTCCCTTCACACAATGCCCTAAAATAGGAACTGAGCAAAGAAAAAAAAAATCAGAAAAAGATCGACAATTTGTCATTTTTTTTTTTTCCACATTTAGAATAATAATTTTTTTGGAAAAGGATGTAAACATTAATGCAAATGTATGTATTTAGTTGTATCTGCATATGCATGAATATGGATGTGTGCAATAATAATAAATCTCTCCTAGCCAACAAACTGTAATTTGGTCAGCATTTCCAAGGGAATATTTGGTTTTCTGAGCCATAAGAAATACCAAGGCATTGGGAATGAATGAAGTTTTGCTGGCAAAATCATTATTCAACTTTAAAAAGAAAAAAAATATTATTTATTTTCATTTCACAACTTGCCCATGAAAATTACCAAATATTTACTTTCAAAGCATACATTTTTCATTTTGAAAAAATAGGTGGTAAAGAATTTTCTCAAAGTAAGATGAATATGAATATATTTTATATATATATATATATATACACACACACACACACACACACACTCTCTCTCTCTTGTAATTTATGTTTATATCACAGCAAATTTATAAATTTTAAAAAAAATAATCACTAGTGGAATTTGAATCTATGAGCAAACTCTTTATTTAAGGTCTTCATTAAGAAGTCTCTTTAATTTTAAGGAACATTAATTAACCACAAGCTTTTTAGCACTTATATGAAAATTCCATATTCGATAAGCAACATAATAGATTTTACTGAATAGATGTCACAAGAATGACAAATCAGCAACTTAAGACAATATTATCATTAAAAAATGCATCAAAATGATCATGCAACTGATATCAATTCCTTGACATTATTAAATTTAAGATATCAATCAATAGATAAAGATACATCAGCAAAGCTATTAGCGACAATTATAAATGATCATGATATATGCAAGCACTTTAATTTGGACTTAGGTAAAGGCATATAAATAAGCAAATAAACCATGACAGCAAGAAATTAAATCAATATATATATATTCATTATAGCTTGGGATACAAATATAAAGAAATGAGAAAAAGAATTAAACCATAAGTAAAAGAAATGTAATCTTTTTCTCCTCTAAATTGAAAATTTCAAACTGACCATTTTCTTTTAACAATTATAACACTTGTGCACATTTGACTAAATAAAACGCTTACCCACTTTTCCAATTTTTACCAGGTTTCTCAAAGTGGAGCTCTACTCAGCTACCAAATATCAAATATAACAGAAATAAATCATCAATTAATAATTAAAGGGATTTTAACTATTCCAGCTTGACTGACAAATTTACCTTAATTAAAAGCACACAACATTTATATGAACAAAAAAAAAAAAAAAAAAAAAAAAAAGAGAGAAAGTAAGGAACTAAGAGCATAAAAAATTGGGGCTTGTATCTAGATTAATTTTTTTTTTAAAAGTTCAACCTAAAAGAGAAAAATATTCTTTTCATAAATTATATCAATTTCCTATATATCCATATACAAACATACATTTTTTTTTCTTTTTTTTTTAATTAATAAATGAAACATCCAGTTTTTAAGGGGTGGATAGGAGCAATGTTCGTGGGCAGGCTGTTTTTGTTTAAATTATATTTTCTTTGGATTCAAATCCACAATCGGTTGATAATCAGGGTAAAATTATGAATGTGTATATATATATTTGTTTACATATATACACATGAACATATATATGTATATATACATATATATAGAGATATATATATATATATGTATACACACATGCAAACATGAAAGAAGATAAAAGGATTAGAAGGTTGAGTGCCTGAGTCGTAGTGTCATCCTTGCGGTCATTTCCGGAGCCGCTTCCTCCACTACTCCCGCCAGTGACACCCCCACTGCTGCTACCTCCACTGCTGCTGCTGCTGCTGCCTGCTAGTCGCTTCTGCAGGTGAGTTTTGTAGGCAGCCCTGAGGGCATCCCACTCCAGGCACGTTGGGCGAATACTCCACACATCTGGTAAGAAAAGCACGACAGTTTCAACACGAGCAGGCACCAGTCGGCCCTTGTGCATCTCCTCAGGACGAATGTACCGTATCTCTGCGAATCGATACCTGTCAGGAAGGGGTTAATGAAAAAGAAAATTTTGCTAAAAAGTGGATAAGTACTGTACACTTCTGGCTGTTAATGACAGCCATGGCTAAAATAATATAAAAAGAAAATAGACAGAAAGAAAATATCATTAAAAAGAAGAAAAAAAAAATCTATTTCAAATCAATAATTTCAAAAAATATTTCCTGTCAAATAATTGTTTTATATTTTTATTAGCTAATATTTTTAAATAGAAAATAATATCAAAAGTGGAAAAATCTCTGAAATATCAGAAAATAGCTGATATTGTGGACATTTTGATCACTGAAGTGGCTGTCCTAAGGTTGTATCTTGAACTGGTCATCTATCAAAATGACAAGTGCTACAACAAGGACACCAGTTAGACCAATACTTCCAAACAGCTTGAAAAAGATCAGGAATCAAATTTGTGGGCCAAATAACAACTCTTCTGATATTGCAAAAACACCAACTTACATAAACACAATATTTGGTTTATTTAAAATTCACAAGCCAGATAATTAACTTTTAAAAAAATAATTTTAAAAAGGTCATTGAAGGCTTTTCTTTCCTTAATTGGTGTTTTATTACTTATATTGAAGTCTGTTTATATTTACTTAATAAAAAAAAATAGATCATGTCAACCTTACTTATAAAATAGATTTATATTAAATCAGAAACAACTATTTTAATTATGCAACCCAAATAAACATTACAAAACAAACAAATGTAAAAGAAAAAAAAAAAAGAAGACTTATTCAATGACAAATTCCTTAATTCAAATTGCATGACAGTGTATGAAAGAAAATGACATATTTACATCAGCCAATAAACAAAATTTAATAATAGGGTGGGGAAATAGGCAAACAAAGAAGCATCATAAAAATACTTGGATCCAGACTGTAGCTTTCTGAAAAGGAAAAAATATGAAGAAAAGCAAGAGAACAGAGAGAGAGAAGTCTAACATCATTGATGAAAGCACTCACCACTGTGTGCACATGCTGAGATCAATATTGGTTAGTGCCTTTGTGTTACGGATAGCAGTCTTGATAAGGACCTTAGGATCGTCACCAGGATTCGGTCCATCAAGAGAAGGAGACCAGGGCCCACCAATTGCCATAGGCTCATTCTTGCCTTTCAGTCCAACAAGGAACTGAATCATGCGTGTTGGGTGCTGATATGCGATTTGCTCACCTCGGAAGCCATCTTGGGAATCTTCACCCAAGCCACAGCATTTCTGATAGATTTCCTCTATTTTAGGGCTTGATAATAACATTACCTATAAAGACAAAAAGTGAGAAAGGAAAAAAAAAAATAATATAGGATATATCTACATCTGTTAATTATTTACGAACATCAATAGCACTTTCTTTGAATTTCATTCTGACACACGCACACATAATATATATAAAATGAAGAAATCGATGAAAATATGAAAATGATTTAAAATGTTTCACATCAGAATAATTGCTAAATAACTGCAACAAATTGACATTACTTTTGAATGTCTCATTATCTTAAAGATCTATATGATACTTTTTTTTTTTTTAAGGAAACAGGTTATTATTTATGCTATATCGGTTGAAATAATAATAATGCATTGCATTCTGATAGAACTTTTTGGAATTTTACAATCCAAAAACAGCAAATCAATAAAAATCAAAGATGTTAATCACTGTTCATTCTCAGATACTATGGTGGGTATGTGAAGAAAAAACTTGAAAGTTATGCACAGGTTTTGCATCATTACATTCAATGATACAATGCTGATAGGGACTGATACCAAATAATTAAGAGAACCCATTAAGTGTTTGTCAGTGTGTGTTATTTATGCAGTGCAGTTTTATATCAACCATAGATTGTTACATATCTTGTAATAGTGTTTGTGGATAAAAATACAAAAAAATATTCTTACTTTGGCACTATACAAATGATCAGCATCTGTTGGCTCTGATGTAGGAGTATTGGACTCTGCATCATTCAAAGTGATAGGTTCCGTGTCTTTAGGCATGACATGAAATGTGCAGTCAGTGCCCAGTTGGAATGGACGAAAAAGTGGGAAAGCAGATGTCCAAGTGAAGTTGGCCTGGAAGAAGTCACTGGGGATGTATAAATTGCTGTAACGTGACTTCAAAATAATGACATTAGCTTCATTCCTGTAAAATAAATAAATAGAAATAATTAAAGAATGAACATAGTTCTAATATAAGCAATAAAAGGCATAGAAGTGTTACATTCAATCCTGAAAGCTTGATCTAAATAAATTTGTTTCAACCTGAGGGCAAGAATGTAGAATTTCACATGCTCTTTTCACATTAATCAACTTTTCAAAACAACAAGAGTCAGCTAAGTACCACTTAAAAGAAAATGTAAAAAGTAGTTTCCTTGGGAGAAACAAAAATTGCTAAAAGACTATTATTATTTATTATGAAAATGAAAAACATACAACTCCATAAACCAAGATACAGTTGCAAAAAAAAAAAAAGAAAAAAAAAAAAAGAAGAGCTAGACAATGCATATATAGCAGAACAGAAAGGTTATCTCAAGGTTAAAATTGAAGCAATTGAAACAACTCACTTAAACTAAATGCCAAGATTTGAATTGTCTATAATAAATGAAATTTCTGGTAGAAATGAAAACAAAGCAAAGCCAAGTACCGAAAAGAATGCACAAAACTATGTCAGAAATATTTTTTTAACCTACTTAGTCCACCACCCAACATAAATGATAAGCCTGTGCAGAAAGTGTTTGATGAACTGCCAGTTAGAAACGATAACTCCTCCATTGAGGAAATGAAGGAGAATGTTCATCAAATTACTAAAAGAAAACAAAGCAGCAGGTCTGGGTCAAATTCCAGCAGAAGTATGGAAAATCAGCTGCTTAGTTGATGCATTACTTCCAGTGTGCAACAAAACATATAATGACCAGGCACCAGGTGTTTAAAAAAAAGTGTACTTCTACTAATAGGAGTAGATAAGTTCCTTTATTGTTCAGTTCACACTCCTCCCTTGTCTTTTGAACAGGAGTAAAAGTTTATCTGTTGTTTCCTGTTTAGCATTGAGTTTATGGTCATTTCTAAATCTTTTCTCATTCTCTTTCATTCCCAGTAGCCCCTTGCATCTTAGTGGCATTATCCTCTTGCTTGGGGTGAATTGATAATTAAAAAAAAATCTATATTTAGTTATGAATTCTGTTGAAGTCAATACTGTCATAGATAGGGTAGGGATATTTTAGTACAATTTTTACATTAATACTAATATTAGTCATTCAAATTTTTTAATCATGATTCAAGTTCATGTGATTGATAAAAGAAACAAAGAGTAACATGTATAAGGTCCCATACAAAAGAAAAAAAATCATCACAAATTAAGTAAAAGAGAAACTCAACTAAAGGCAAACTATCTCCCTCTATATCTCCAGGATAGAAACAGTTACTTCAAAACTAAAGTTTGACAATTCAAAAGTGGATATTGCTTGCTTATTAAGGAGACTATCAATAATGCACACATTTTTAAGAAATAACCAGAATAGGAAAAAAAAAAAGTTTTGCAATTTCCAAAGATTTGTGATCTTTTTGAAATTTGATTTATACCCAAGTTGTAAACAACTTTCTAAAACAATAAAACCTTAATATATAAACTGTGGAAATAATTATGTTGTCTTATTCTCAGTAAAATATTTTCATGGTTAATCTGGAAATTATAGAATAAGCATATATGAAAGCATGCTGGATTGTTTTTTGAATTCTTTCTCAGACTTACCAACAAGGAATGAATTGAAGTAAAAAAAAAAGATTGGTAAAAGTAAAAAACAGTTATGTCAAAAAAAAAAAAACAAACAAACAAACAAAAAAAACAGGGAGAGTAACTTAAAGTAGAATCCCATGACTAATGCTTTTAATGGTTATTTGGGAGAAAAAGTGAAAGAGAAACTTCCAGTATTATTTTTTTTTAACTGATGAAGATATATACATTAAAAATAGCTTTTCTCTTTGCAAACCCACTGTGATCAATTCAATCATGGGACTTTAAAATTTACAATAGTCAGGTTCCAAGAACACCTATATCAATAAACACAAGATAAAAAGACTTACGTTTCAAGAGACAACTTTGGTATTTGGACAACATATCTAGGTACAACTCGTGGATTTCCACGTCGTCTTTTTGGGCTACGTGCTCTCTGAGAAGGGGAATGTGAGCGGTGATTGCTTGGGGACCGGGGTCGCTTGCTGGACGACTTGTCTCTTCTTTGATCTCTTCTCTCTCGTTCTCTCATATCCCTGTCTTTGTCTCTCTGCTCTCTCTCACGATCACGATCAAATCTCATCCCCATGCTGCTGCGCCGTGATGATGACATTGGTACTCGTACAGCAGCACCTTGCTGGATCAAAGCTGAACAAATAAAAATAGAAAATGACTTCTTAGTGCAATAATTAAATCATATGGCATTATCAGCTTTTGTATTGACAAAGAGAGATAGTCAAGGGGGCAAGAGTTACTTAGAAGAACAATAAAAATAATAATGATACCAAGTTGTGGTGAGCCACAATCACCCACATCCTAAAAGGACAGGGCATATAACAGAATGACAAAAGAATTTTAGAGTTAGTGAACAATGAGTTTATCATTAACAATATTCTTTTGTAGTCTTCTGCAACTAAGGTTATTCATTATTTTATGACTTTTTTCTCAGCCTTTGCCTGTATCTTCTCTTCTCAGTCTCTCCCACAATTCGGTTTACCAAGTTCTTCATAACTTATATATATATAGGATTAATACAAATATAAAATTTGTCACTTAGCTAATTGATATTATTTTCAGCATCCTGACTTTAGAGTTTCATAGATGGACCCTCCAGCAATCACTCTACCTAGTTGTCAGGAGATACCAGAAATTGACTGTTTATTTTCTTGTTTTTCATCACTTTTATATTGTGTTAAAAAATAATTTTTACACATTTCATTGGTGCAAGGTTGATTTTTTTTTCTTTCATTGTCTGTGTGCGTGTGTGCATGCATGCCCATGTGCATATATGTATGTGTGTATATGTAGAATATTGTGGTTATTTTTCCTTTTCTTTGTTTTTCTTGTCTCTTCTTATTGGTTTTATACCTTTTTCTCTCTCTTAACTTCGAGTATCAGAGACATATATCTCTGGAGTTGGGATGCTGAAGGAAACATCAATCAGCTAAGTGACAAACCTTATATATATAACAAATAAAAACTTACGTGGTGGTTGTGGTTGAGCAGGTCCTGGTTGTCGTATTTGTGCCATCAAAGGTGGAGGTTGCTGAGTTATTGCAGGGGGTTGCACTGGTGGTGGTGCTGCCACGGGGGCTGGAATGGATGGAGTGATACTGGGTGAGACAGGTGGGGCAATGCTTGGGGCCATGACAGGCGTGTGAGCCATGGTGGGTGTCACAGCAGTGCCAGTTACAGCTAGTGGAGAGGAACCAACTATTGTGGGGCTGCTCATCACCAGAGGTTGACTATTGGCCACTTGGGTCATCTGATTACTAGCAACATTCTAGAAAAAAAAAAAAAAAAAAAAAAAAAAATTAAAATGTAATAATTACTACATATTCACAAAAATTGTAATTAAGTGGATACTGTAGGAAAAATTCCTACTGAAACTATAGAATTGAATGAAACATTTAGAAAATACAGAGAAGTAGATGAATGCATGAAAGGAATTACTTTTACAAGGAGAAAAATAAATGTGGATTTGAAAAATTTCTGCAAACATTTATTTAGTTATGAGAAAGAAGATATGTGCATGTGTGTACATGCACAGTGAAAATACTTGTTAACATATCAGCAATTTTATGCATTAATCTGTTTCACAGATTCAGACAACAGAACCTGGCATGTTGATCAAGAGGTGATCACTCCTGGTTGGGTCACCTGGGAGAAAGGACCTGATGTTTTTGAGGCCTGAAACCTCCAAAGACACCAGTCTCAGTTATGAGAAGAGTAAATTACATATGCATACATTCATCCTTATTATTATTATTATTATTAAATACTAAACAAGATCAAGTCATGGTCAAAATGAATAGCAGTAAAGTAAAGAGTAAAACAAAAATGTGGTTTCTCAGGACAAAAATGTGACATCAGCAGCTTCACTCAGGAAATGGACTTAATCTTAGTTCATCAGTCATTTTCTAAATTAACAGCATCAATAAATAGTTCCACTTTTATACATACAAAAATTCTTAATTCAGGAGCTTTCCTTGAAACTACTTTTTAAATATTACATAATATTTATAATGGATGTGCATGCAGTCATTGATGTGGAAAGTGAAATCTGCATGCAGAGTTCAAATTCCAGCCAAGTTTGCTGTGTTCAAAAAAATGGTTGGGTATGGGGCTGAAAATTCCATCCTGTAAAAATCTACTTGTAGTAACTGCAGCAGTAAAACCTAGCATAGCGAAGCTGTGAACCTATACACTACTGTGGAGGTTAATGGCATTGAGGAAAGAGGAGGAGGAATATTTAGAGTAGTATTCTAGTAATAACTATTTCCTTTTGAGTTAAGTAACAAACTGTCCTAGTGTCAGTTTAAAAAAAAATGTAAGAAACCAGATTGGATTCTTGCTAGAATTTTCCACAATTGCAATTATCACTACCAAAAGAATCAGGCAACTACTGATATTTTTAGTAATTGACACAAAATTGAATTTTTTTTTTGTTCAGAATAATGTAAGAGGGAAATCAACAATGAATCTATTATGTTGCCAGTTGGTTGGAGGGGAGAATCCAACACCACCACCCTCCTCAAAAGATTATAACCTCAGCATTATTAGAATACAATGTATTAAATTCATTTTTATAGAGGGATAGACATATTTTGTGTGAAAATTTAATTTTGATCCCAAAAGTTTCTTCTCTAAGAAATTGAAATCAAAACACAGTAGATAGATCAAGAATTTACAAAGACAATTTATAGCTCTTAACCACAGCAGACTAGAATTTAGAAGATTAGTTTAAATCTAAGAAAATAGAATAAACCATCACTATTTACAAGCAACCACAATTTTCCTTTAATTCCAGTTTTATTATTTCAGAGTTTTACAAAACATTAATATTCATTTCATAGCTATCTTCTGTATGGATGCATATTAAGTAGGTTGCTTCTCATGTATTCACATGCTAGACAAATGTAGCATAATCTGCCCTCAAGTTCAAATCTGACAGTTGATTAATCTGTTCGGTATTTGTATAAAGCTAAGGATTAACTAAAAAATAAACAGTACAAAAGCCAAATGGAGTTATGATTAAGTCACCATACTTAACTAGAAACTTACCTGGTTTGGTAAAACTTGAATCCTTGTGGCATTCCACTTAAAAGGCATATTTGCATTATACGAGGCCTCCACCAGAACTCTATCAGTCAATTTTGGTAAAGGTCCTTTGCAGCAACTTTGGTTAGAGAAATGAAAATTCAGTATGATAAGTATAAGAATAGCTACATTTAACAGAATTTATTTGCTCAAGTAACATTTTAATATCTAAATAGTCTAATAAAGAACAGAAAACAAGAAAAATGTGAATATTTAATACACTCATCTATCTATATAGAATATATGCATCTTGAACTTTCTTCTTAGCAATGAGATAATCCGTTGTTATAAGAAGCATTACTTGACAGCAATAGGCAAATATGACCTATGTTACTATCAGAGAGTAGATCAGACTGATAATTGCTCTTTTTGTTTTGTGTTAGTTTTCTGTACTTTTAATGACTTATAAAACAGAATTATAGAACTATTCCTTACATGTGACAGTAGAATTAGTTGTATAGATAAAAACCCAAGATTACTAACACAGGAAACATAACCAATATAACTTTAAAATTACTTAAAATATTGCTGTCATTACTGACATTGTAGATAAACTAGTAAATACTACATAAAAATACTTACTTCATCTGAAAGAAAACATCTTCATCCACAAAACCAAAGTTATCCATAATTTTGGTCACTGTTCCTGTGAAGAAGCGTTGCTTAAGAGACTGCTGAGCAGGTGACACTCGGTTGCTAGCAACGGGTGGAGGGTACGAGACGCTAGCCACTTGTGTAGTGGAAGCCAAACTAGTTGGGATAGCAATCCCAGGTTGTGATAACACTTGGCCTGGCTGAAGAGCAGGGGGCTAAAAGAATTGAAAAGAAAAAATATATATATATGAAATTAATACATAAATAAACAAAGAGAAAAAACAACCAATAATATGAAAATTTAGAATGGTAGGAGATGAATAAAAATTTAAGAATTTTGTGATTTTACTGCAAAACCTGAAAAAAGAGATTTCTCTTTAAAAATGGCTAGTTACAGACATATTCATAACTATAGATTAAATTAGAACATTGTAGATTGTTTCCCAAATAAGAAGTATGTTTCTCAGCAGATTGAGGAAAGAAAAAAAACAAACAAACAGATGCACTGATATCTTTACTCAGTTTCATCAGACACAGCTGAACAGATTATTCATAAATTTGGCTGATTGAATCTCTAATTAGAAATGGAATCATGCAAAGTTCAAACAATTTATAGTCAGTAGGTAATCTCTTGCTGCAAGCTTTTCCATCATATAAAGTTAATTTTTTTTAACTCAATCTCTCAACATTTTGTTTCTGCATATCTTACTAAGCACACCATTACAATTCTCAGTTAGCTACTAGAGATCAATTAATACCAGTCACTTAGCTATAGTTGTTTGCATACATAAGAGCCTTCTTATTCTTTCATTTCAAGAAGTGAACATTTATGGCTCTCCACAACTTCCTGTTTTTATTGCTCTAAGGAACTTGTCTCTTTACTATAAGCTCTTTTTCCTTGTTCTGCCAAGCATTCAGTTAAACTCATAAAAGTAGGTCATTTACTGTTTCCTTTGCATTCAATATATCCTGTGAGTGTTAAATTCTCCAAGCCTCTTCTCACATTAGTTTACAAAAAATTTAGTTTTCTGATTGTTAGCATCAGTTTCCTTGTAGCTCCTATTCTCTTTAAATCTTTCTTGTTACTTGTATTTTTCCCCCAGTATTCTCAACATTCATTGGTAGAACCAGATCTGTCATTTCAAGTCTTCTTCATTTGTGAGGAGATTGTTCAATATTCACTGGTATATAGGAGATTAGATATTACATAGCAGTTCAAAACTATTTTTGGTTTCTAACAACATTTTCCTATTTTTTAATACTCAACTCTCATCAGTTGCTATACCCATGTGCTTTTAGACTTAGGTATCACACTCTCCATCATCTGTTACAACACTACCAAGACAGATAAAATTTCTGCTCCTGCTCAATTTTGATGTCCTTAGTATGTAATTCATAACTTAAGCTATCTCTGTTGCAGACAACCCTTCATTCTGATAATTAATAGTCCTTTCTTCTTGCTTTTCTTTACTATAAAAGTATAATAGTCCTTTCAATTTTCATTCTAAGTCTGTCATCAACATGGTGTCATTTGTATATATTACATTGTTATGGTTATGTCTATCAATAATAAATCCTGATAGGTCTTCTAGTCCTCTTATGATCATCTCACTGTACAAATAAATTGAGAAAATGCATCCCTGTCATACTGTTCTCTCTATTTTTGCATATCTGTTGTTTGTTTCCAGTAGAAGTTATGGATTATTCTAATTTCATATAAATCAAGCTTTCCTAATATTTCAAGGTGTCATACTCTATCAAATGTCTAGGTATAATCTATGAAACAGGTACCAGTTTTTATACATTTGTATTGCTCACTCTAATAGCATTCTAATAAAAAAAAAAAAAAATTGTATTTCTTATTCCAGTGTCTTGAACAAAACCACACTGTTCTTGGCTTATTTCCAGTCTAATTCTTCTATAAGTTCTATTCATTAGAATGTCTAGTTACATGGTTCATCAAGCTGATTGTTGGATGAAGTTTACATTTATTTTCACCTGGTTTCTTTGGCTGCAATAAAGAGTATATGTCTATGCATAATTTGATTTTTACAAATAGCCAATATTGGCTCTGCTACCTAAATCTACTTTTAAAGTATCGTCTTAAGAATTAAATATGTATTTACAAGAAAATGCTAACACTATATGAAATTAAAGAATAAAAAAAAAAAAAATCTTTTACATTCACATTTCTATACCAGTCTATGACACACAAGTCAATAACTTTGAATAATAAGACTCCCAAAGCCACAGCTACAAGCAATAGTAGTTGTTTTTTTAAGGCTCCCAACTGAAAGTTATTTCTCCTCACCACTTTATTGATTCAGCAGCTGTTCTTGTTAACCAGAGACAATTACCATTCAAAGCTTGTGATCAGATTCAAGACATCTTCAAATAATGTTTTTGTGTTCATTTTAACTTCAAATAAAATAACACTGGAAAAACTATGTTCCTCTTACACAACATAAGAAAGAAAGAAATGATTATTTCTGCATAAAAAAAAACAAAAAAAAACAGTTGTTACTGAAAATATGCACAAAACTGATAAGAGCTTCTGGGTACACAACACTGATTTCTCATTAGGTATCACTATGAAAAGATTATTTGGGGATCCAACCCTAAAACAAGCAACATAATGGTAACCATAAGAAAAGAGGCACAAAATCAGATTGACACCAGATTTTTCTTATGACTCATTGAGAATCATAGCAAAGCAGAATTGAAGTCATTTAAATTGAAATAGCAAATCTGTTGAAATTAATAAGGATCCTGAGAATGGACACACCCTCCATTTTTGGCTAATCTAGTTAACTTGATGACATGAGGGAGATGATCTTTGGCAACCAGATGTATTGCACTGGAGGGTGGATATTTCTCAGAAGCATGATGAGTGTGCCAAATTTAGCTGAAACTTATGGAGAGGAACACCAGACAGCTCCAGAGATTCAGGGAACTTACTTGGGTTCAAAACAACTGCCTAGAACAATTTCAATGACTTTGTACCCTTGAAACTCCCCAGCAATCTGTTACAACAGCTTTGAGTTTTTTTTGTTTGTTTTTTTTTTTCAATTACATCATTCTTTGGAGCACAGATACCTTGCTTACTGAACTACCAATGTTTTTTGTAGTTTGGGACCAATTTTACATTTAAAACTGCTGAAAATTCTGGGACTATTTGGTTATGCTATACAAACACATACATATATAAACGCATACATGCTATGATAAATTACAGATAAAACACCTTTTCATATCCCACTTTTTAAAACTCAAAATACCAGATTTTTTAATGATTCAGCCTTCATATCTTATGCCTTTTATCTAATTAATTTCAAAAGAGAAAACGAATTTAACCCTTTGTTGTAAAACTAAGCTCATAAAATTGTACATTAACTCCCACCACCAGAATCATGGTGTGCTTGAATGTATATGTACTGCATATACACATGTATGAGACGATTTCATGTATAGATCAACCAGTGAATTCTTTTGCATGAATCCCCCTCCTTGAAAGATTTGTGTATAGTGCAATCAAACACTGAAAATGCATGATTTTTAATATCTATAAATAAATAAAAAATTAAAATAATAAATATAACCCTTATTTTGTTGTGTAAGAGTTGATCATAAAAACTTGAGCTACTTGGTGCAAGGTGTAAATCGTCGCCACTATATTTTTAATTTCATGCATGTGCATTACTTGTTTTAGATTTTGTCGACTGCACAGTATAGTAGGGTCAGTTGGGCACTGTCTATGAGAAAACGAGCACCAATATGCAATTCACTGTCAGAAATTTGGAAATGGTATGCTATAGTGCTTGACATTAACACCAGAAGCTCCAGTACAAACATTTGGAAGAGTCTAATTGTGGTTACTAAGGTAAGGCAGCTCAGAAAACTCATTCTGATAATTAAAAAAAAAAAAAAACTCACAAATTTGTTGGTGAGGGCCTCAAACCCAACACAGAGTGCCTTGAGGAGGTAGTGCCACCCTGGGTCAAGAGGGTGGCTGCTGGAAGACCCTATGTCTGACAACAGGACTATACACCATGCCATACAAGCAGGAGAACCCAATCATGGCTGTCAGACAATTTCTGCAACCACATCACCCCTTACATGCAGCCACCTATCTACCTAGACTGCAAACCCCTTGATTATTATGTGTGCAGCGCAATTGAGTGAGAGACCAACAAAAAACCTTGTAACACCAAAGATGAACTGAAGGAAAGGATTATGGCAGAATTCATCAACTTAAACAAGGAGACTGTCCAGAAGAGTTGCAGAAGATTACAAAGTTATCTGGAGGCTGTGGTTGAAGCTAATAGCAATTTTATTGAATAAATTTACTCTTTAGTATTTTTGTGTGATTTTGGTAAATATATCTGTTAAAATGAGATGTCAGTGTTATTTTCATTTTTGTGTAATTTAGATGACAATTTATCCATTGTGCCCTGTACAGTATTTTCAGAAACAGTTTTATATGCATGTTGAATATTTCTTATACTGCAGCCTGGGAAAGTATGTTAAAATGACAGATATCAAAAGATAAGGATGTAATTTGTATACAAGTGTTTGTGTGCGTACACACACACACACACACAGATGCACTTTTATGAAGTCCCTACAGTGAATCTTTCAACAAAGAGAAATGCTATTCAAACCAACACAATCTTGGTTGTTTATACTCTGGTTTTGCCCATTGGACCCTTTGATTTTCTTCAGGTGTATCTTCATATTCAGCAACTTTCTTAGAGTTTTTAACTGAATATTCAATCCATGGTGGGGGTGATTGTTCTTATTCCACTGTCCATACTTAGGGGATATTTCATATTAGTTAACACTAACCAGTTTTATTTGCTTTGGGTTGTTTATCAGTTTCTTCCATTGAACCAGAGTATGTGACTTTTTAACACTACCAAACCCCAGGATTAAACTCACAACTGCTAGTGAAGCTATGTTTAACCACTACTTTAATCCACTCAGTCATACATCACTTGGACAATCTAGTGTTGAACCATAGAGTATGGGTACTTTGACATGGCATAACGGTTAGCAAGCTTGTCTTGCTAGAACACTTACAACTGAGTAGTGAGTTAGATTCTCACTAAGTGCTCTAAACTCTCGACCTTGTGCCATATCTAAGCTATGCTCAGAAATCATTTTCAGCCACTTCAACATAATTTAATGGTTAGCAAGCTTGTCTCGCCAGATCAATTATGATTAAATAGTGAGTTAGATACTCACTTGGTGCCCCATATTTTTGGCCTTGTGCAACATTTAAGTTACGCTTGAAAAATCGGCACAAAGTATGTAACGTCCACTCATTCAGTGGGGAAAAAAAAAAAAAAAAAATGGACACAAATGTGAATAAAACTGGTGAGTAGTATCAGGTTGGTGCAAAAGTAATATCTGATTTTTGAAAAAAGTTTTAGATAGTATTTATGAAATTTGTGCTTCTTGTTATAGTTAAGGAATGTCACAATAAGTAATTTATACTTTTCTTTTTTGAGTTATAAAAATATTTTTCATGATTTTCTGCAATATTTGCACCCAGGTTTGTCCCATCCAAAGATCACATTTGACATATTGTATGAGTTTAATAAAGGTGTCAATGAAAGTGCAGCAGCAAAGTCTATTCTGAGCACTGATGCAGTGAATGAAAGAATTTGCAGGAAGTGGTTTTCCCATTTCCAAAGCGGGGATTTCAGTTTGAAAGACAAGCAAAATGAGTGTCATCTAAAAAAACTTGATTCCAAAGAGTTGGAAGCTATTGTCACAGAAAATCCTACCATTACCTCTAAGGAATTTGCAGAATAATTTCACACAGACCATACAACTGTGCTATGTCAATTAAAAAGGATTGGAAAGGTTTCAGTGGTTGAGAAATGGGTCCCACATGAACTGTCACCAGAGAATCTGTAACAGCATGTTGCTTGTTGTGAACCATTGCTTTCACAACACCTTTAGGCATCATTTTTAGGTTGGCTTGTTACAGGTGATGAAAAGTGGTTCCTTTACTGTAATGTTAAATGCCACAGATCATGGCTCAGTTGAGGATGAAGATCACTTCAACAACCAAGAGGAGGACTTCATCCAAAGATCATGTTGCATGTATGGTGGGATAGTGAAGGAATTGTCCATTACGAACTGTTAAACAACAATCAAACAATTACAGCTAATCTGGACTGTGATCAACTTCGTCATTTGAAAATAGCTCTAAACCAAAAGTTACCTTCCTTAATGAACAGAAATGATGTTATCATCCATCACGATAATGCTCGTGCACACACAGCTTGGCTGACTAAAAATCTTTTGGAAGAACTTGGTTGGGAAATATTGCTTCATCCACCATATTCTCCTGACCTTGCTCCTTCTGATTATCACTTGTTTCAGGGACTACAGAATCATTTGGATGGTCTTAAGATGACATCAAGAGAAGAGGTTGAAAATGAGTTGGGTTCATATTTTGCTTCAAAACCTAAGGAATTTTACAGGTGTGGCATTTATAAGCTTGTTGACAGATGGAATGATGTTCTAGAAAGCAAAGTAGGTTATGTTAACAAAAAATATTTTCATAATCATGGGCTTTTTCATTTTTAATATAGACCTTGAAATTGGACATTACTTTTGCACCAACCTGATAACCAATATACAATAGCCCCAAAGCATAGGAAACAGAATGAGAGCAAACTACCCCATGGATTGAATAAAGAGTCCAGTTTGAAATCTCAAGAAAGTTATCAAATACAAAGACACCTGAAGAAGACTGGAGGATACAACAGCTGAAACATGGTCAGTACAACGACCAAAATGGGCATGCTAGACCAAATAGCAAAGCATAAAATAATGATAATTGGTCATCTGAAAAATACTGGCAAAAAGAGAAATGTTACAAAAAAAATAAATAAATAAAAAATAAAATAAAGTGATAGACAATATAATGAAATTGGAAAATATACATGAAATAACTACAAACCAGATTTCATAGCTTACAAACACACACTCAAAGAATATTTTTTTGAGAATAATGTAAATATTCTGAAGAGGATTTCATATTCATCTTTTATAAAAAAAAACGTAATCAATAACCAGACAAGACTTTTAAAGTTCAATATGTTTAAAGGTTATATATATATATATATATATATATATATATATATATATATATAACAGGAAACTAAAGCCACATCGACTCATCTCCTGTCACATAAGAATAGCTAACATAAAAGAAATGCACTTTTCCTAATTTATCTTTTTTCTCCTTCTCAACAGCTTTTACCTAGCTATTTTACTAATGTATAACAGAAGAAAAAAATTACTTAAATACTATGTATCAAAAAAAAAAAAAAAGAAAAAAGAAAGAAAAAGAAAAAAAAGAGATGAGAATATATCTGTGTATATATATATACATAAAAGACTATTTTTATCATGTGCTACAACCACAAATTGTTTGAAATGTTAATAAAACTAAATATATTGGATGTATGTCTATCACTGTTTTTTCTCTAACATTTCCTGTTTTTTCAGATGAGCAATTATCATTATTTCTTTAATTTCAACATGTTAATATGTCTAACTTTGGGAGTTTTAGTTCTACATTTTCCTAATGAACTGACAGCAGCCACTAATTTTTAATGTTAGTCTTTCTTGATTTTAAGTCTAAACAATATCAAAAACAAAAAAACAAAACTCAAATTTATTGATAAAGAAAATTCACTATGATATATTATAAAATCTATTCTTGTTATCATTAACACATTTTCTGCCATACAACATTTAATTGCAATGTAGTTATTCTCAGTGATATTTTTTAAATCTTGATTTGTAGTCATTTTCTTTTTGTATTTTGCTTTAGTAAAAAATGACCATGACATGTCATATAGCAACTACTGAGAACAAAAAAAGAAAATAGTTTAAATTTGATTTTATTTATGAAATAAAGCAGGTTATCTTATAGAATAATTTCTAATGGTACTGCTAACAGAAACAGTGAGCATTACATAAGTTTGAACATCCAAGGTCATGACGAATGCACTAAAAAAGTGATCCAAGTAATTTTTATTAAATTTAGGCATTGATTTTATCTTTATAACACTAATATAAAAAATCTTTTTACTTATTAGGTTACCTCTAATAAACTTTCAGAAAATGTGTCAATTTTCTCATTACTTTATAAATTTAGTTGAAACAAGATAATATCAAAAGACAATCAGATTCTGGTCAAATGGTAGATTAGAATTCTGCAACCATTTTACATGTTTTTATGCAGATTATCCTCATATGTCTATTAAAAAAAAGGTATGGTGTTACATCACTTGAAACTAAAAAAAAAAAAAACAACAGTACAAAAAATTGAACAGAATTTGAGAAAAAAGTTTCAATAAATCTGTTTGCAGTAATGATGCCAAGATTTAATTTATTATTGTGATTAGTTGTCTATTTTATAATTATTTTCATTTCTAATTACTCATAGAAAAAAAACAAGACCTAGCAAATAGAACTGATCAAGAAAATCAACAGAAATGTCATTTACACAAGCCACTCAACTTATAAAATTTCTCTTCATAGAAACATCAGCCAAGAGTTGAAGAAAACACAAACATGCAAGAGGTACACTGTCTGAATTCCATACATCATTTTAGCTATACACATTAATTCATACTCTCCACTAGACATGTGCTCTCCCACACAGAGAAAGAAAGAGTAAAATAGAAAAGTCTGTTTAATAAGGTTATAAATGAAGTGAAAGAAATTATATTTTGAAACTGACAGAGCAAAATAAAATCTTATGCCAATCAATTTCCTAAAAAGATTAATCTTGTCAAATTGAATTCTATACAAAAATCATCAACAAATCCAAATCTGCTAAGCAATCCAATCAATGAACAGAAAAGATAAAAAAAATTAACCATTTCAAAATAGTACAAGCCTTCAATATACAACACAAGCAAATGGGTTCCCTTACAGATTAAATAATAAAGATTCTTGGCTAACCTGTGCCTGCATGCCAACAGCAGCCAGTTGTTGTGGGGCATACTGTGGCTGTGCAATGGGAGCTGAGGTGGGTGTGGTAATAGAATAGACTGTAGCCTTAGGGACACCACCAGCATTAGGTTGGTTGATTAAAGCATTGGTTACCATTGGCTGGCTTAGTGAACTCAGTGAGTTGGTTGCAGTCACTGCAATGAACTCTGAAATCAAACAAAATAAAAACACATGACAAAAAATTCTTTAGAAAATTACATCATTTATTTATGGTAATTTTGTAAAAAACAAAACCGAAAGAATGTACTTTACAATGAGTGGATAAAAACCTATGTGTCATTTAATTTTTGCTTGAGCACAAGTAACAGACCAAAGCATACAAATTACTGCAGATGTAAATCAGTATGTGCCAAAATCTAAATAGTTAATAGGTTATTTTGGTAAACATTATTCAAGTTCAGTGGTCTGGAAACTCTTGATGTAAGTATTAAACGAGCTGGAAAAAATAAAAAAAAATAAGATGAGAAATGTTTGAGAAAGTAGCAATAAAAACATTGCCAAAAATGTATGAAACTTGCTAACCCATTAATGCTGGATCTGTTTAAGAAACTTATTAATACTGGATTTTACAGTGGCCCTTATTGGGTTAAATGTAAGAGCTTATAATGTATATTGGAAACTGTATAAAATTACAAATAATTGATTGATATACAAAGCTAATAAAATTAGCAAAATAATTACCATTGCCCCAAGGATAAATACAAAAGAACTCATTATTGCATTTATGAGAATTTTCCATTTGAATTTCTAACATTAAGAATTATCATTATTAAACATTATTATACACTTATCCTCTTCTTTTTGATTATTGGGCACAAGTCCTTTGTCATAATAGCCTTCTGGGAATTTTGAACTGAATCATTTATTCAATCTGTAGAGGGAGATTATTCTCATTTCTCTGTTCATATTAGAGGATATCTTGTATCAGTTAATTATTCTTTGTCCTTATGACCCAACATGTTAGAGAGAAAGAGAGTTTTATTTATTTACTACTTTTTTCAGGGATTGAAATCACAATGACCAGGTAACTAAAACTTCAACACCTTTATCTACAAGGACAATCAGATGGTGAAATCTGAGCCTTAAACTTCATGTCTGCCCCTTTCCTAATTTTCCTAATCATCAGCAGCATCACAATTGTGCAGGGACAGCAGAATGAAAACAATCTATCCTCAAAGACTGAATAAAGGCTTGAATGCTGTTGGCCATTAGAAAAGAACTGGCAAGACAATGTTCAGAAATCTTTCAAATGAAACACTGCAAACATTTGACAGAAAGGGGAAATGTTTCAGTAAACTTTAAAATAACAATAAAACATTAAGATATTGTACACACATCTAATATTTTGAGTCAGTTCAAACCATGTCAAAAGCTGACTGGATTGAATATAAATGTAGAGCTAGTTGAAGAAATCTAAGAAACATTTTGTTGCAAAAAGAAAAGATTTGATAACTTAAGTATTTTCTTCAACTAAATTTAGAAAGAATAAAAAATATCAAGTACTGTTTAAAATAGACTATTTAGAATTGACATTCTATGACGTAATAATTATTGAATAGTTTTGGTTTTTGTATATGTCAATTTGTAGTCATCATTGCCAAGATGTGACCAATGATTGTGTATAAAATATAAACAAACAACCTGTTTATTATATTAGCTGAAAATAAAGAAAGATAAAATTCAGTTTTTATATGTATATTAACACAGTTATTGTAGACAAAGATGTACATTAAACAATTTCATGCAAAATTTGATTTCTTTTAATAATGCAGTCATAAAAATAGATGTTCATAGATTTCAAATATTTCAGTATGACATATAGAATTTGACAAGTGAACAGTTTAAATTAATAAGCAAGAAATTACACATGTGAATGTTTTGTTTCTGGCAAAGTTTCTGTATTTAAGAGAATAATATAGAAAACTTATGTTTATTTTATTTTTAATCTGCTGGTGAGACATAACAGATTCCATTGAACCAGGAAGTGTGCAAATATCAAATATCACTAATGAAACATAGCAAAAAATCCTTTGTGCTCCTACTCAAACTATTTTGCATATCTTATATGATATAAATATAAAATAAAGACAAGTTAGAGCAAAGATGCTATAAGAGAAAGAAATAGCCAATAGAATTACACCCATTTAGATTTATTGGCTATTTGCTGCATCAACATCAAAATGGTTATTGTTCATTGTGGTATATTGAGCAAGATATCTATGAAAAGAAAGCTTGCATTGTTAAATCATAAGGAAAAAAATATTAAGGTTTCCTCAGTGGATTAAGATTATTTATCGTCAGTTTCCAGATAATTATCTTCCCAGATTAACAAATATATTTTTTTGATAACAGGAAAGTCACACAGGTACATTTTTGCTTTCCTCATGCATTTAAAAAAAAAAAAAAAAAAAAAAAAGGTGTTTGATAGGATAATAGAATGTATCATATCTGCTGGTGAAGCCTATGTGTGTATTCTCTAACACACATACAAATTAAGTAAATGGTGCTGCCCACTCTGAAATGTATTTTCTATATAAAAGTCATACTCTATACACACATTTTTTGCTGTATTTTTCCAAGTGCAAATACAATTAATATTTGTGGATACTACTATTTCATCTTCATGCTATACAGTCTAACAGTGGCATTAGGTAAGGATTTCCAATGTTTGATCATGCATGAGCTAAAAAGGGACAGTCTATTAAAAATAAAAATACTAAAGCCTAAAATATATAAATTATATTGAAAAGAACATTTTTGCTAATACCATTCTACTTGATTATACACTATGCCAGATTTTATTGTACAAATCAATGTTTAATGAATAATATTGGTATTAACTAAGCAATGTTGGTAATATTTTCAGGAATATTGCTCAAATAAATACAAGTATATTATCTGAGTTTCTATCCTTATTAAAAACTAGCTGAATTATCCATGCCTTGCTGTGTGTCACACATTTTTTTTTGTAAGTAAATGATGATTGATTTTAAATCATTGTTATAATTTGTGTAGAAAAATGATGCATTTCAGAATTATTCAATGATCTTGCCAATGTGACCTCCATCTTCTCACTTTCTCCTTCTATATATTGGACAGGAGTCATTCCCTTGTCCAAATTTAATTTTAATTTAAATCAAAGGAAAAAAATCTTCAATATGTGTGTGCGTGGAGGGGGAATCAAAATGAAATATACTTATCCAAGTATCCTAGGTAATATAGTTTCTGAATATATATATGGTTATGGTGGTCTATCTCCAAAACCCTTGGAGGAGTTTGATAACAGACAGAGGCTACAACTTATATACACACACATATATATATATATATATATATATATATATATATATATTTCATGAAAAAAAAAAAAAAAAAAAACAGCTGACATGATACTGAGGTTAAGTTTTTAATTTTTCTTGCATTCTTATAATTTTCCTCTTTTCTGAACGTAAATTACATAAAAAAATTGGTCAAATTTTTTGTATGTCTGAGCACTTTGGGCTATACTTTTGGCTATATTTCTTTTCTGGATGTAAATTATGCTATAATTCATGTCCAGAATAAAAGAAAATTATAAGAACACAGGAAAAATTAAATAAAAAACCTAACCACTGTACCTTATCAGTAGTTTTTAATGAAACTTGTATAAAAGAGAGATTGCTGCCCAAATACACAATTATATTTATGATGCATTCAGCAGAGGAGGACATATTCAACATTTGATAATTTTGTAGCAATACACACTTAAAGGTTTCAGCCAATTTTCATCAACATTTCTTTTCATGGTTAGCCACAAGGAATTGTAAATGCAGGACTACCATACACTTAAGTAATAATAATATTTATTAAGAATTTATTACAGGAAATAAAAAGTTTTACGGAAACATTATTGACAATTATGTATTTAGTTACATAACAAATAAAAATATAAATTTTGATGCTATATTTGATTTGTTGTTAGGTATTTTTTATTGGCAGCATTTTAGAATACTTTGGCTGCAATGCTAAGTTTTCCAATTTGAACAAACTGGAGCTATTTTGTTTACGCTATGTTACCTCTCTTTTCCATTGTTGTTTTTGCATCACTTTCTTCTAGTAATTTTGATGGGCAATAGTGAAATTTAGAATGATCTATCCCATTTCAAAATTAAAGCCTATAAAAAGGAATATTTTAAATTAATATGCAACCAAAAATGAAATGCATTTGACAAAAAACCTTAATGATTTCACTATAATTATGTAACAATAATGTAATGATGTTCCACAGACAAATCTACAGTTTGTTACCTCATCCCATTGCATGGTTACAATCTATAAACTTAAATTGAACTTGAAATATTGTGTAATTGGGTCTAATTTTTGTAAGATACTAGGATATAATATAATGGATAACTTGCTGTGAAAAAAGCAATTTCTGATTTTTTTTTTTTTTTGTTGAATATGCCCCTTCTCTGCCGAGCACATCATGTGTGTGTGTGTGTGTGTGTGTGTGTGTGTGTGTGTGTGTATATATATATATATATAATTTATTACACCATGATGAACAAATGAATTTACATAATATCTTACATCATCAAATATTTCTAATAAAAAGAGACTTCACATGGTATATTTACAAGAAATATATTTTGAAAAATTTACCAATATTGGTTAGTTAACACTCTGAAAACACTGACTTGCAGGTTTTCTAGCACTTAAAATTCTTTAGTAAACAATTTATCTTTGTTTAAGGAGCCCTTTCAAGTATGTATCAGTTGCAGAGATCTATTGCAATCTGTAAAGATTTTTGGAAGTTTTATTTTGAAACAAAAACTTGTTCATATTTCAACAAATTTCCAATCTTAACTAAATACTTCTCAATGTGAAGATTAAGGATTAAATAAATCACAAAAATGCAACAATTACTGGTGAGATTAGTATATGGTTAGGTAATGAAGCTGCAAATGAGATTACTTTACATCCAATAAGCACTTTGCAGGTGGGAATCAAATTGTAGCTTCAGCATAAAAAAGCTGAAAGTTTGGAGGTTCTACACTGATGCCTAGTTACTCACAAATACCTAATTCTAAGATAAAGCACTGAGTATTTCTTCTAAAAAACTTACTAGCATTATGAAAAACTGTAATGCCACTGTGGTTTTAGTATC